GAACTTATCATATCACCTTATAAAATAAAAACTGTTTTACCCATGCACCTCAAATTTTCAGGTTATATTTGCGAAATAATTCTGTGATAACATTATCCCACACGGAAAAATTAAAATGCTGATTTAACAATTCAATTGCTAAAAAAAGTGACTGCAACGTTTCAACGTAGATTTTACAACAAAAAAATGCTACTTTAATCACTATTGTAAGCTAATTTAACCACGGTGGTGTTTGTAAAATCTACATTGAAACATCACAGTCACTTCTTTTAGCAATTGAATTGTTAAATGAGCAATTCAATTTTTTCCGTGCAGGTACACAAGTTACTCTGCTATGATACATTGTTTCCAAAAAAACGTAAAATGGCGTTTACGGCGTTTTAGCGTTGCACGGCACAGGAGTCATCCGGTAGGTGCAGCTAAATCCACGCTGGCGCCTGCGAAAAGGAGTATCTGGGGCATTATAAATGTATCCGAAATTGCATGGCATGCGATTAATAGGAGCACGTATGGCGCTTTTCCGCCGGGGAATGCGTACAGGACGGATCCGGCGAAGGGGAGGGGGCGGGATGCGGATGCGAGGAAATTAAATTTCCCTCCATCCTGGATCCTGGATCCTGTATCATGTGCAGCGTATGATATTTCACGTGTTCGTCCCTGCCGCCAAGGCCCGGCTTTTCCCCGCCCTCCTGGCTCATTAAAGCCATAGACGAAGGAGACGACGAGGAAATGGAGGGATCCTATTGCACTGAAAAAAAGTTACGGGCTATATAGACATACCGTCCGCTCCGGTTGCTAGAACCGTAACTTCGACTGCTCCGGCTGCTACGCCCGGAACGGACGGTGTGGCTATATGCAGCTCGTAAGTACGGCTTCCACGGCTGAGTTTTTTTTCCAGTGTAGTGGAGGCTTGTGGTTGTAATAGACAAAGGAGGCAAGTAATAGACTAAGGGTTGTATTCATTGTCGTTCCTGAAACAGCTCATTTTCTTAGAAGGCCCCGTAATTGTATGGTTTACATCGTGAGTAAGATCCTTCAGTTGATCCATCATTTTCCTCCTTAGTCCGTAACAACCAGTCGTTCCAACCAATAGAATCGCTCCATTTTCCTCCTGTCCTCTTTGTCGAAGAAGCAGCCCCAGAGGAGAGTCGTTTTGACTCGAATTTAGTAAAAAATGGCGAAGAATACCAGAACAAATCAAATCAAAAGAGGAACCTGTTCATGGTTCATTTCTCGGTTTATTCTCATGACTCAATTAATTTGTGGTAAATATTTTTCAACTTAGTACGTAACATATAACCAACTTGAAAGAGGTGTCTGTAATTTGTTGTGCCTTTCCCATCGATTCTTCTTATCCACCTTCATTCCATGTTAACCCCCCGAAGAATTGTTTTTCCTCATTATTGCCTCTCTTCATCACTCTTTCGCCTCATATTTCTTACTCTCTTTTCTTCTTCCTAGTTGCGTGAAGATTGAAAACATTCTTCCCTTGTCCTTCTATTTCTATTTTTTTCTTTTTCTCTCCTTCTTTTCATCTCTTTTATCATTTATTCTTTTGCTTCTTCCTCTCTTTTTTCTCAGTTTCTCCTCCTTGCCCCTTTTTATCTTCTTCCTTTTCCCTTAACTTTTTCTCTCCATTCTTCTTGTTTCCCTTCTTTTGCTTCATCATCTTTTTTCGAACTTAAACAAATCGGAAGGAAATTCAAAACAAGACTCAATGGCTTTTTTTCAGACCCGTATTTTTATGCCCACCTTCTTAAAGTAGTCATAAAGTTATTTCAAAAGATTTCTGATCGAAATTTAAGGTGAAATGCCTGTATCGCACACTTCAATGTGGATCCAATGAAATCACGCCCCCCCCCCCCCCCCCNTAGTCACGACGGAAGGATACAATTTATCGCATCCCCGTGCCATGAAGTGGTATCGCTGATAAATTGAAGGCGCTCATCACCATAGAGTACTATTGTGCAGGATGTCAAAGAGTCCGGAAAGGCCGGAAGCAGTACTGATTTTTTAAGAGCGGCCAGGGAGTTCGCATTTTGAGCGAGAAATTCAAATTTTATCGAGATTTTCGAAATTGATGGAATTTTGTCAATTGGAGGTGCTGGAAAAGTACCGAATTTTTCTATTGAGGAGCTACTGAATTTCTTGGGAATGTACCGAACAAGTACTGTAAAAGTACTTATTTTTGGTCAGCCCATTATTGTAGACACCCTGTTGTGGAACTTTTCAATCAAGAGATGACAGAACCTCATTGCCTCAAGGATTATCATTGTAAACGAAGCGTGGAATAGCGATAAAACTGAAGTAGGACACGTCCTCATCGTCCATAATTCTCACGGCGGCAATAGAAAGTACAGGGCTTCGTTAAGAAAAGCTTTAGGTGGAGGAAAGTGAAGGAAGTTAGCGGGGGTTTTCTGGGAGGATTCAAATCTTAAAATCGTGGAGGGTGTCTGCACCCAACGACTCGCGGGTGCTCTCGACATGATAAACGCGACTGTCGCGACGGACGCGAGAAGGAGCGCTGCCGAGTAGGAGTCGAGCGTGGAGCGGAGCAGTTAGGTAAAAATCGAACTAAAAGAACGACTCGCGATAGAGAGCGCTTGACGAATGGAAGAGATGGAAATCCAGAAAGAGAAGAAAAAACACATTTCACACTCAAGACCAGGAGATAAAGGCAAAAATTCCTCTTCACACTTTGGAGAAAAAATAAATTAAAGTTCCAAAAACTATGGCGAAAGCGCGCATGGATACACTCACACGAAGACGCGAGGGAGCATACATATTTATGAGAGCGTGGGCCTGTGTGTGTGTGTATGAAATTTATTTATGTAGGTACGTGTGTGTGTGTGAAAGTATATGTGTGCCGTGCCGCCGCCGCGACAAAGTCTTTAAAAAAACACCCTCACACCCCCTATACCCCCGCCCCGGCGCTCCCCACTCATTCTGACGTCGTCTCATGTACAAACCCGTTGGTCGCCATGGCAACACATATATCTTCCCTCTCATTCCCGCCCTTGTATATCTTAGTATTAATCATCTCTTTTTATTCACATTTCTTATTCTTTCGATTTTTCTTCCACCCCCCATTTTTCCTTTTTCTTTTTTTGACTCGCACACAACTTAGTAGTAGTCGGATGGGATGAGGGCCGAATAACTAAAAAAGTAGATGAAGGAAGAATCGGAGGAACGGGGCGAGATGGGGTGAGAGTCACCCCCGGGCAATTTAATAAGATTTACCCTCCGACACCCCTCTACCTACGCCACACATCCCTTCATTTCAATCTCCGCTCTCCTCTGTCTCTCTCTGTCCTCCTTGTTTTTTTACTTTTTATGTTTTTTTCTCTCCGTCGTATCTTAGAAAATGGAATAGGTGATAAACGAACCATACACACATCACTCAGTCGAAAATAATATAAGGATCCCCTCGCTTCCTTTCCACTCCGCTCNAAAGTCTTTCATCTCCTCTATTCTGACTTTCTTTTTTTTCTCAGCCTTCGCTAAAAATGAGTTTTCAATCATATATTATCAGTTGATCGTATGCATTTTCTCTAGACGAGTCTCAGTCTATCTCAGTCTAGCTACAGCGCGACAGAAAATTCGCGCAACGCTCTCTGTCATGCAAAATCTTCAACGGGTTCTATTCCCAGAATCCGACTAAATGTATTGAATATTTCTATTTCTTTTTCTTCTCTTTTCTCATTTTCTATTTTTTCCATTTTGCTTTTTTTCGTTGAAATAAATTGATACTCGGTAGGACTTTATTTCTAATCTGTCCAACAAGAGACAATTGTCTGAGTATAAAACTGGTCAACATAGGTTGGTAAGTCAAAAATTTGATAACTGATCTTGAGTAGATTTCTAGCGTTGATTCCGGAAACCGCCATTCGTCTGTATCAATTCGATTTTTCTTCCAGATAACTCAGGATTTTCCTCAAAACCGTGCTTTTCCGCAGAGAAAGTTCAATTTTCTGGGAAATCTGTGCAAGATTGGGATAAAATTAGACCATTTTTGGATTCTACAACCGAGAATACATGGGAATCCATTTATTTTATGCCTATGAAACTTATCATTCTGTTCCTAATATCGAAGTTCTTCGGGTCAAATGCTCCCTTCTGCTCGTATACCACCTTGTAAAGCTCTCCTTATACTCCTGATAGTATTCCGTCGGAAAAGTGAGGACAAATTATTTTCTCAGGTAGCAAGTGGATCTATTTTTCCCTAGTTTTTGTCGCTGAATTTCTATATTTGCAACGAAAATTTCTTTTGAAAACACAGCTTATCGTCCATTCGCTGAACGTCATGATTGGTTTCTTTAACCGAAATCTGAGGACGTTAACTTTTTTTCGGACGTGGATTTAGTCAAAGAAATAAATTTTTTACCCCGGCAATACTTGATTGAAAGCTTTTCCGGTTGAAAAAGCATCCTCTAGATTATAGCAAAAATTCTCTTATTCTTATGTTTGCAAGTAATAACAACCCCTTCATGTGATATTTCCTCCACGGGAACAGTTCTTACTCTGTTGTTAGATAGTCTGACCGAACATTTCCATGCGCATACGCATAAATATTTTCAATGAGTGGAACTTCTAAGAAACACACAACTTCATTTTTTAAAAATGATTCAAACAATTTGCAAAGCACTCTTTCCTTATCTTCCGTGGGCAGTCACTTTTGGATCACATTTAGCAAAAAGGAATCAGCGCCAATACAGTGTTTTCAATACTGTGCAACTTCTTATTTTCTTTCAAAAATATTCAATGTCTATGTGCAGTGTTAAATTTTCCACAATCACGTTCCTTTAGAATTGACAAACTTATGGGCGGGAAGCAAAAAAATTTGCTGTTCTGAGAAATTTCTTTACATAATTATGAAGAAGCAACATTTTTACTACACTGTAATTGCGCTGGTTCCTTTTTGCTAAATGCGATCCATTCATGATCGAAGTAGCTCTCTTAAAATTTCAAGTAAAAACGAGAGTTTTTGTTTTTTGTTTCAGTCTCCTTGGCCGCGGCTCCATGTTCGTGTTTTCGACGGAACACTTTAAAAAACTATTGAACATCACGTCGGATGCAAAATTCGGTTCTTTGTTGGATATCGGCGCAGGAGATGGAGCCACAACAGAGAGGATGGCTCCCTTCTTCGAGCAAGTCAGCACCACGGAGATATCTCCACCCATGAGATGGGCCTTGGCTAAGAAACAGTTCCGGTATGTTTTTCCCACCCATATTTTCATAGTGTTAAGCAGACTAGTCGTGTTTACATCGAGAGTTTTGTAAAAATACACATCGACGGTAAAACTGCAAAGATGCGCATCTCGGTTGCTGCGTTTCGAAAGCTCTACTCCTATTTTATTTTTTAAAAGGAGGCCAAACCATTTGACGTGAAATTTTCATAGAATATTCTTTATGTAGAGGAGAAAAATTACCGGAATGCTCAAAAAATGACGTTCCGTAGTTTTATAAAAAAAAAAAAAAAAAAAAAAAAAAAAAGAGAAAAATTGCTTTAAATGAAGAGTTTATTTGCCACCGGGTCTCTAGCGCCACTATAATAAAGGCTAGACATCTTGCCTCGGGAACTTAGGGGTCGTGAAAGTATTACATTACGCACTTAGGGGGGAGGGGGTTGAGCCAGCGGTACGTACAAATCCGCGGCGGGGGGGGGGGGGTTGAAAAAACGTGCTAAAATTGAAAATCCAGCCCTTTCTTTAATTATTGGGGAGGGTTAAGGCCAGTGGCACGTAATTCAAAATAGGGGTGTATGGCTGCGCTACGGGTGCGTTTCAAGGGGGAAGAGGGGGAAGTTTAAAAAAAACGTGCTAAAATTGAAAATCCCGCCATTTCTTTAAAAATTGGGGAGGGAGGGGTAAAGCCAGTGTCACGTAATTCAAAATGGGGGTGCGCTACGGGTGCGTTTCAAGGGGGAGGGGGAATAAAAATCGGAAAGGTGCGTTCCGTAATTCTTGAACGGCCCCATAGGAGGTTATGAATGAAAAGGTTTGGAGGTGAATAGACCGTATTCGATACGGGTTCGATGTATCGTTTGGTTCAAAACAATAGAACATAACCTCAAACCAAACTGTAAGGAATTGAGTTGGAAAAGCTGAAGATGAGAAATTTTCTGACAATTTCACTTTGCATTGGCATTTAGTACTCAAAAGAATAAAAAATCTGTTACAAAAGACCCGTTCTTTCAGATTTGTGAATTTACTTTTGAGGCCATGTTTATGTTTTGAACCAATCGATATCTATACAATCTCACCCGTTTGATGTATCGAATACGATCTATTTTATTTTCGAGTTGAATTTGTAAGTCGGTTACTTTTGGGGATGCAGAGTGCTGGAGCTGACGGACTGGGCCGGGCACAAGTTCGACGTCGTCACCTGTTTGAACGTCCTGGATCGATGCGACTCCCCGCTCTCGCTCCTCGAGCAGATGAAACGGGCCCTCAACCCCGGCGGCGTCCTCATTATCGCCCTCGTCCTCCCTTACATTCCATACGTAGAAACAAGTTAGTATACCGTTCCCATGTCTCCGTCCTTGCTCCTCTCTAGAGCCGTTTTGCATATGGAAAAAAATCACAAATTTCGCATTTGGACGTATTTCTACCAAACAGACCTATGTGGAAGTGAGAAATACGGGGTGTGCTCGTTAGTTCTCTTGCGTGGCGAGTGAATGAGAATAATAAAGCGCCAGTGACGTCAGCGGCAATGAAGGAGACCACGCACGAGCCGGGGATCATCGTCGGGGCGCTGTCACTCATGAGCCCTGTCCACAACGCTCTCTTGCCATGCCCGCGGCTCATGAGTTCCGCATCCAGTCGACACATAGGTCTGTTTGATAGAATGCAATATCCCGCTTTTCCAATTCTTCAAAAAGGAACCACGCCCACTTTTACATTGTTTCTTATGCAGATTTCTAGAGCACACCCCATATTTCTCACCTCCACATAGGTCTGTTTGGTAGAAATATGTCCATTTAGTCGATCTGTCGAAGGCGAATAGTCAAATCAGGCATTTTATCAAATACCTACACTGAAAAAAAAATATTGGTGTATTTGCTGAGAAAAGGGTAAAATTACCAAGAATTCAGGGTTCTATTTGATCCCAGTTTTTTCTTTGTAAAATTACCATTTATGGAATTGGTAATTTAACCGAAGATCTCGGTAAAATCATTGAACTTTCTCGGTAATTTTACTGGACCTTGGTAAAAACAGCAATATTTTTTATCGACTGTGGTAGAATTACCGAGATACAATGGCAAAGTTACCGGGAATTGATTACCAATAAAAGTGGTATTCGTACCTGAAAAAAACAGTAAAAATACCGGTTTTAGGTAAGCTTACCAGTCTGTCTTGGTAAAATTACCAATGATTGGTAAAAAAAAGTGAGATGATAAAGGTACCAACGGACCTTGGTAAAAACGCCGCGAATTTTTTTTCAGTGTAGGCAAATAGTCAAATTTTTGCGGATTGCGAAATTTTGTTTTATGGCGAAGAACTCAAGAATTTTCTGAGAGAATATTTTGAGAGACCAAAGCCTTTTTGAGAATGACTGGACTTTCCTTATGTTTTTCAAGCCTCGAAAATCCGTTTTTCTGCTTGCCATTTTGCAGAAAGATGCATCTATACCTGAGCAATACCGAAGCACCAAAAACTTAATTTTTGGTCTTCTGCCGCTTAAGTTGTTTTAAGAATGGCGGTTCAGTTTTGCTAACCGCAGAATCGTGTCCTCATGATTCAAGCGGAAATGTTAGCAAAAATAAATAAGACCTGGGCGAACGAAAAATGTCTGATTCATCAGGTTGGCTGCCCTTTTGGGGCTCAAAAGCTTTCGTGATTCGTGAAATTATGTCTACACTCTGCCTCCTCCAGGCACTCTACCTATTGGTGAGTTGCAAATGTTTAACTGGGGAGGGGGGGGGGAGTTGACCCAAAAACTGTGAGAAATGACTGGAATCGTGTCGTGCTATTTAAATTTTCACTGCTTCATAAATTGAATGACCGAAAACATATGTGACCCTATCATCAGATTCCTCCATTTGCGATGCTTTACAAACTCGAGTGGAGGATGCGTTTCCAAAGCTCTCCTTCAAATCACCGACCTGGCAATTTCATGGCTTTAAAATTCAAATTGTTGTTTATGGAGTCCTGAAAGAGAAAGAGAAGTTGGATTATGAGAATGACAGAAAGGAGCACTTTTCGGGAAAAATGAGTTACGAGTGTTTTTCAGCTCAACGCGTGTATCTATCACATTCCTCTGACAAAAAATCAAAGTTTATTTTTCACGCAAAAATTTAAAAGAGAGAAAAACCCTTGAAACCGTTTTTTCTCCGTTCCTCTTCATACCCTTCTCGAAGCAAGCGATTCAACTGTTCTCAACAATTTAAATCGGTTCTTTTTCAGATAAATCCTTAGCGCCTAGTGAAAGACTGCCCCTCGAAGGTGATACCGCAGAAGAGCAGATCAATGGTTTTGCTGCCTTCCTCTCATCTCTTGATTTAAAAATTTGGCGGTGGACCAAAATGCCGTACATTTCCGAGGGAGATATAGAGCAAGCTTATTACTGGCTTGATGATTATATTTTCCTCATTGCGCCTACCTCATGACGGAATATGGCAATTTTATTTATGATTATTTATTTTCCGGCGATTACAGAAGTTTCTTCTTCTTTATTTTCTCCTTCCTCCTGCTCCTCTCCCACTTCTTCTCTTCTTCTTCTTCTTCTTCTTCTTCTTCTCCTCTTCGTTTGAAATAGGCTTTATGTTTAACTTTTTAGAATTGGGCTCAGAAAAATATTCCAACGAGTTTTGTAGAAAAAACTATTTTTAAGGACGTTTTTAATATAGTACACGTACACATATGTCGATGAGACTGAACTTGACATCACATCGGATCTTCTTTCATTAGAACGGGTAAAAACGCTGTAAGGGCAAATGCTCGTGGAAAAATGACTTAGCCTTAAAATATCCATCTTAAAAAATACACGTTAAAGATCTTTTCATAAATGTCCTGTAGGAATCGGGTGAATGTCACAACAATGAAATCGCTAAACGAGAAACTTTTACATCTTAAATAATGGAACATATACCGATTGTGTACCGAAGTGTAAGGAATAGTGCTGAACATTTAGCCTGACAATGATAAACTATAATATCTCAAGTTATCCACAGAAATGTATTCAATTTGGAACAAAAAAACTTAAGTATGGAAGTTTAAGTTTACATATTTCTCATCCCTTCTCATTTTATTTGTTGGTTGCTTCATGTTATGCATTTTTATACAATTTGTTTTCATAGATATAAACAATTTAATTTCAATCATGTTCTGTTGTGCATTCCTCGATCTGTCGCTATGTGGGGAAAATTATTGAAACATATTATTTTCCTATTGTGTCATTATATAAAAAATTAAATTTAACTGAAATTTTTGGAGATGGATGTTAAAAAACCGCAGCTATCGGTTAGAATAATGACTCAATCTTCTTTCTTCTTCTTCTTCTATTTATCAATCACTGGTAGCAGTATTATCAAACAATCTTTTTTGTTTCCCTTTTCTCCTCATCTTATTTGTTGATTTGCCTCATATTGTGCATTTTTATACAATTTGTTTTTATAAATAAACAATTTAATTTCAATTATATTCTGTTGTGAATTCCTCGACCTGTCTATGTGGGGAAAATTATTGAAACATATTATTTTCCTATTGTGCCATTAATACAAAATTAAATTTAACTGAACTATCTATTTGGAGCGAGAAAAAAAAAAAAAAAAAAAAAAAAAAAAAAAAAAAAAAAACGTAGCTGTTGGTAGAATAAATACTCATTCTTCTTCCTTGTAGTTCCCGATGTAGAGTCACGTACATTAATTTAGAAACACGTTGCCTCCGAAAATCCCTGTAATTTATTTGCGTCTTTCGTGTACAACACAGATCCACTCTGAGAGAGATACCTCTACTAGTGTTTAGCCCCGTGTAATTTCCACAATTGCACCAGGGTGAGATTTACTTTTCGCCTTTTATTAAAGTTTTATCGATTTGAAATTCTATATCAAAGATATGAGTCCAGTTTTCCTGAAGCTGATGCCGTGCTTTTCAATACGCAAGAAACACATGCAAGCACCTAAGTACCGTCATTGCATTGTACTACCATCAGGCTTGCCCACGAGTACGTTTTGGTATCGAGTGGATTTGAAGGCGCTTTTTGCTCCTGAGCCATTCAGTTTGGAAATGAGTCAGAACGCCGCGCCGCGCCGCGCCACAGCTTCATTTCACTTATTTCCTCCTCTGAATGGATGAAACAGCTTTTCTTTTGCTCCCTACGCAATACAGTTCTCATGACAAAGTCGGATGTAATCGACTTAGTGCATTAGTGCAAGTATAAGCTTATTAAATGATTTTCAAAACCAATCTTGCAGGGCGCGGCCATAAATTATGTCGGGGAACAGATGAAAAAGGAGGTGTCGAGTCCAAAGGTGCGTGATGAGTACCTTGGTAACTGACGAAAGAAGTTGGTTGTCAATCCTTACCTCTTACATTGAAAACTTTTGTTGTTCTATAATTTCCGAACAAAACAGGAGTTAGAAATGAGTAAAATTATTTTAACTTTCTTTTATTTTCATCCCACAAACTGGGGACGGAGCTCCCTCTGTCGAACGAAATTTTTAAATGACCTTAAAGTATCCCACAGAGGGAGGAAAAGGAATCAGAAAGTGGCTGACCGACGTAATTCATGGCCAAATAATGTCAAATGTATGTCGGCCAAATAATGTCAATAATGTAAAATAATGTCAGTTGTTCAAGATATATATAACAATGTCAGACTTTTGCCCAGCATTTTTTGTAATGTTGAATATCGCACCTTCGTTATAATCAGTGGGCTCAGTTATTATTTTCAAAATATTTTTTATAATTAAATCATTGTCCATAAACCCCGACCAAGTAGTCAATAGGCCCACTTTTCTCTGATTGGAGGCGAATGGATACATGCGTAAAGCCAACTCCTCCAGAAATAATTGTGGGATAACCGCCTTTGAAATTCTTGGAATTGCTGAGAACTGCAATTAGGTTGATCGTTTGGTTCCGGAAAACATTCGGAGGAGGATAGTAGACGTACTGTGTCAAAATAACGCCTTCAGTCGCTTTTTTTCGTATGTCCATCATAAAAAGGACTCTGTAACGGAATAAAATGATTAGTGGCAAAAGTGATAAGCACGAATTGCAAAAGTGATGTGTACGCATGCATACAGCCGCTCTTACAGCGCAGTTTCGCGTTCTGTGGCGTCCAATTGTGTTTGCCCCTTAATCCTCCTCTAAGTTTATCAGGCAATAGACCATTAGATAAGGTACGAATTTCAGCATTCTGATACATGTTTCAAGACCAACATTTTACGTAAAACACGACGCTCACAACGGAAATTACCGAAATTAACTCCTTACGAAGATATTTAATGATTCTTGATGCGTGAATTCAAACCACCCACTCTTGAAAACTCAATGCTCCACGTGATTCACATAGCGCGCTAAACGGTATCATGACAGTCTCTGCGATATAAAAATCTGGCAACCTAAATCTTGACACTTTGGCTCAGTTATAGCAAATTGCTAATAGTTTGAACAACACATGGCGGGAAATGAACATTGCTCGATTGAGAAGCTTGCTGAAACCGTTGTAGTGGGCGATTTGACTCACGTAGAGCTTTGAGTTTCTTGTGAGCGGACAGTTAAAATTCCTCGTGACCAATGTGAAATAAAAACGTTAATACCTTCGATAGGAATTGGTTTCAGTAATTTTCGTTGTGTGGATCGTTTTCTACGTGAAATTCCGGTTATGAAACATGTATCAGATCGCTTAAATTCGTACCTTGTCTAGTGGTTCATTGACACCATCTGATTTCTCCTCCACTCCGTGTCGCCAACCTTCTACGGCACGTCTGCACTGTCTCTTCTCGGGAGGTAACCAATTGAAACCTACTTGGGCAACCGATCGTCCATACTAGACCAACGGATCGTATTCGATACATCAAACAGGTGAGATCGTATCGATTATCGATTGGTTCAAAGTGGGAACATAGCCTCAAAAGTCCATGAAGTAATCTGCGGGACAGGTTTTTTGTGATCGATTTTTGAAACTTATGAGTACAAAATGGCAATAAAGAGTGAAATCGTTAGGAATTTTCTCATTTTCAGCTTTTCCAACTTAAATCCTAAAATGTCTGTTTGAGGTCATGTTCTAATGTTTGGAACCAAACAATACTTACATCGAACCACTATCGAATACGATCTACTGCTTCGACCCGATGTCGTGCTAGATCTCATTCTCAACTCCCATTATTTCACGCACTTTTTATTTCGGATGCACGCTCTCTTCTCGAAATTTCAGGAGACCTTCAACAAAACTCCATTTCAATTGCCCTGGTTTTGCTTGCAATGGCGACATCCTTTAATTAATTCGATCATCCTCAAAAATGCCCATAACCACACAAATAGTATAGCCTAGCGTAGAAGAGTTTTATGCAAACAATATGGCTAAGAAAACGTGCCAAATTGTCAAACCGCCAGAAAGTTTCCAGAAAATGAATTAATAAAAAAGGCAGGGATCCGTAAAAACTTGATTATCGAAGTTTGAAATCCCAATTTTTCGACACAACTTTTCATAAACCGCTCACTTCCATGGAAGCATGCCTTCTGTTCACTATGATATGTTGCCTTCAAACCCCAAGTAGCAGTGATCACGATAAATAGCGATTTTATCGGTTGATTATCGCGATTATATCGGTGGCAATTTATCGCAATATTATCGAATAAAAAATTGCGATTTATGTCAATTAAATCGCTATGCATCGCATTTGTTTGTTCAATAAAATCGCGATCAATTTTCGTCGATAAAATCAAGATTAAATCGCCATACATTGCAATTTTTGTTGCGATTATATCGCGATAAATTGCCGGGCGATGAAATCGCGATTTTATTGCAACAAGATCGAGGATAATCGCTCAGATGTTGATGATCCTAGCGATTTTATCGCCGATAAAATCGCAATATATCGCGATTTTGCCGTTGAAAAATGCTACTTGGGATATGTTGCCTTCAAACGGTCATGAAGAGGCTCGCGGAAAATTGCGGCATCAAGATTGACTCGTGTCGGCAAATTTAATTAAATCTACGTGATGATCTAGCTCGTCGGTGTACAGCAACGGATCAGTTAGTCACCCGGCTGACATATGGGCGTAAGTACACATTGAGATGAGCCTTAAAAAGCACTGAATTGTATGGATGACAGGGCTCATTGCAGAGTGCAGTTACGTCCTTATGTCAGCCGGATGACAAGTTGCTTGTGCCACAGAAGCGGTTTGGTTGATCGCGGCTTGTGGATAAACGAAAAATAATTAAACCTGACCAAAGCCAAGCGTCTTTGTCAAGTATTGACGGAGTAACGTTCTTTGGAAGCCAGGAAGTATGCACTGGAAAAAAAACACATTGGATCTAGAGTCCAGACTCATGAAAACATTGACAAGAAAAAATACTCTTGATTCAATCGGATTTTTGCTTGAATCAAAACGAAATCCGCTTCAATTAAGAGGCTTGGTTCTTGATTCAAGCTAGATTCTGATTGAATCAAGAGTACTTATTCTTGTCGATGTTTTTAAGAGTCTGGACTCCAGATCCAATGTGTGTTTTTTTTCCAGTGTAGTTGCTAACGTGATTAATCGTGACAGCAATCATCATGATTTGCTTCCCCTAGGTTTTATCAGCGATGCATGTGCAGCGATCGGAGGAAATGTGTTCATCGTGGATACATGGATGGAGGTACGATGTTAAGAAACTCGAAAATAAGATGGGGAAAAAAGCAATTTTCCATGTCCTAAATGGTCAATACTTCTGCACCTGAACCATCAGTTCACTGAACATAAATTTACCAACTGAAGGTCTTCGATCGTGGATTTTACTGCTAGTAGTTCTCGAAAATTGCTCTGATCCGAACTATTAATCCTGTAGGTATTAACCACCAAAAACTCATACTTTAGTTCGACTCATTAACTTCTTTAAACGTAACGTGCCCAACGTCCCTGGTAAAAATTGGCGATAAGAGCTACGTTTCAAAATACCATAGGAATTCTTATAGCCGGCTAAAGAGGGCTACAGAAAATCATATAGCTGGCTGTAGAATGCGGAGAAAATCATACGGCCGGGCTATACGAAGCGATAAAAAATTATGCAGCCGGGCCATAGTTCCTATATCCGGGCTTTTTCGCCACCGATTATAAAAGGCTATAAGAAATAGTGTAGAAATTCGTAAGCTTAGGAAATCATTAAGTTTCATACGGAACCACCTTAATATTTACAAAACACACGTTATATTTTCCCTTAACGATAAAGCACACATTATCCATTCCTTTAATACAAACATTCCTCTAATTCCTTACATCCTTACATTACATCCCATACATTCCTTTAATACATATTTTTTTCATCAATTAAAACGAGAATAATCCATACAGGATGTGCAAACATTTCAAAATCATGAGTTGAATAACGCTGGCTCCGCCAGATTAAATATTAGAACCTAACACAAAGCGGAGCGGCGACGCACTGGCGCCTACAAACCTAACAGGGATACTTCACGCATTGCGCAACGCGTGAAGTATCCCTGTTAGGTTTGTAGGCGCCAATGCGCCTTTCGCGCTGGCTGCCCGCCTGCCGCACCGCAGCGTGCCACAGCGCTTGAAGCAACTATTTCACACCAGAGGTATTGCACAGTATCATACGAAACTGAGGGCGCTCTAATATATTAGGAATGGCAGGCATCCATCAAAAGTATGGAGCTTTCCTCACAAAATAAATCAAGATACTACGACCCAAAAAGAGAGCAGTGGTCCAAAAACTCACTAAGTCCTAGCATCCGTAATTAGTAATGTTTAGCATACACTTTATCGCCTGACTGTGAGTTGCTTAATTCGGCTATAAAAGGCTATAAGAAATCGTGTAGCCGGCTAAAGAAGCTATTGGAAATCTTACAGCCGGCCGTAGGTCTATGGTATTTTGGAACACAGATTCTACTGCCAATTTTTACCAGGGGTATCCTAACTTACCAGAGAACAAGGACTGGCGTGATGAAATCAACAATATAACAGGTTTCACCTCGGTTTCGTAAGGTCTAAATCTATTTTATCATGGTTGCGTAATGCCGATTTCTAGGCATACCTAGGTCTGGCTTAAAATTAAAGTTTGCCGGTAACAAAGCAATGGAGTGAAGCACCTATGGTTGATACCGTAAAAATGAAATTTTCTTACTGATCTCCCTTTTTATGTTCGCCGACCAGCATCGTGCCCTTTGGTTTGTCCGGTGGTGGTTCATCAATTAAGAGGAGGGCGGAACAAAAAAGAGCCGTCAAAATCAACATGCTTCGCTGAAATCAGAAGGTGTGATTCAATGTTTGGACTCCTTCTGTTACTTCCCATCTAGTTGAATGATCTCCTCTTTCCGTGTACTTGACTGAAATCAACATGAATCAGGCCCGAAGTTGATCGGTAGTTCGCGGTCGACCGTATAAGTTGAGGCAAGAATGTTTACTTTGTTATACGATCGCTGATCAATGGTTCCCACCGATGAAGACGTGGAGATGGATAGATCTCGCTATAAAAAATGCCCAACTTTCGCGCAGCTTAAGTCTATAATATAAAGTACTCGATTATAAGTCGAATTGAGGGACTTGGAGGACAAGGCGCATAAAAGCAGTTCCTAAAAAATTGAGTCATTATTAATTTCAAGTACAACTAGTCTTAATGCACATTTTGAGAAAAATTGGCTCCCAAATTCCAATTTTTAAGCATCAAAAATTCAGTTTGAAATTGCTCTCCGCCATAAGGATCCACGTAATTTCGAAACTTCAAACACGCATTTCCAGGACCGGATTTAGGCGGTGGCCACATGGGCCGCGGCCCATGGCGGCAAAAGGGGGCGTCAAATTTTGCAATTTTTTCTAATGTAGGTATCAAAAAAAAAAAATTACAAACGAGAAAAGGCGACAAAATCTCTCATTTCCTGAGAATTAAAAATTGAGTCCTGAGAGTCCAATTTGATCGTCCTTCGGTGATACAAGAGACAGAACTTTTCATTGGTCTACTTAAGAGAGCAACCAAACTCGCGATTTTGCCTGGAGCGGCGCGGCGCAGAGAGCGATGATGACGAAAACTTGAGATGGAGAGGAGAAGCCCTATCGGCGCACCGGTCAGCATGGAACACATATTAGCGCCTACAAGACTCCGTGAATACTTCACGCATTGCGTCAAACGTGGTCAGCAGCGGTTGGCGTGAAACGCATAGCGCCTACAAGACTGCATGAATACTTCACGCATTGCGTCAAAAACAGTGCGGTTGGCAGCTGTTGAAAATAATTTTGATTGAAGGTTTAGTGCTTAACCCTTAGATGCCCAAGACCTTTTTTATACGCAAAATTCCAAGTAGGGTCAAAATGAGCTGACACGGAGTTTGATTGGAGCGGTGGTAAAGAACGGATTATTTAAGTGTCCATTGCGGACACCCTGTTTATCGATCCTTCTACTTAGATTTAAAAGACAGATCAATCTATAATTCGCAAAACACGCCACGCCATGCGCCACTGCTAAGCACGATCGGACTAGGGTTGAATCGGGTGTTTTTAGATGGTTTTGTTCCCAATTTATTTACCTGTTCACTATCTCTACGACGTTTTACGATACTTCCATCGATTTGACGACTAGAGACGTCAGTGCTTAGGATTTTCTTCCACGGACGACGATCTGGAAATCGAGGTGTCTCCCTGGCTGGGATCTCAAGTGAATCGTTACGTGTGTCGCGTTGACGCCTCCACTAGTAATCGTTGCTGTCCCGCCCTCCTCCCACAGATTGACGTCGATGATCGATATGAAGTTGATAATCTTATCATTCGTAAAACCCCATTTCGGGAAGTTGACCGTGTGTTCTAGTACGTTTTCAGGCTCGCCTTTTAAATCTACTTCCGTCTCGAATATCACCCTGAAACAAAATAAAGGCCACCGAAAAAAAAGTGAAGTTGATTTAACATTCTGGATGTAAAAAAGTGTGCGAGAACTTGGAAAATACTGAATTGCCCGCTACGGCAGTTACTTCAGTAATGCCAAGATGTAAAACAAACTGCTCTGGCAGGTAATTTAGCAGTTGATAAGTTCTCGCACACTTTTTTTACATCCAGAATGTTAAATCAACTTCACTTGTTTCTTGGTGTGGTGAACGATCTGAAAAATTTGACTTCGACACCAAATGTTAAAATATTGAATCAAATGTTTGAAATCGAAAGTGGAAGCCAAAACTATTACTCTTAGCCCAGATTGAACAAGTTTTTCTTGTTTTTGTTTGTTTGTTTTTTTTGTTTTTTTTTTGTTTTAAAGAAAGAACGGCTTCATTCAGGAACCTATATTTCTTACAGAATCCAGCTAGGTACCTACTCATCATCAGACCTCCTTTCTCCGAGAAAAAGTGAATTATTATTCAACGAGATCTTGCGCTTAGAGGGTGGTGGTGGACCCCACTCGTGTTCTTGGATGTTATCAGTGAACTCTTCGGCTGCCACTAGACACCAGACGGCCAAAGTGAAAAGGGGTAGTTTGCTCCAATATCCGGACATTTTCGGATTCCACCTCGGTCAAAAATACATGAAATTTTGAAGTATGGTGTCAGGAAGTCATTATGGTGTCGAAAACATCAGAGGTTGTTTGAGACCTAAAGAAAAATGTGGAAAAATCATCCTAAGAATATCCCATCAACATGTTACAGATTTTAATGTTCGGCAAATATTTTAAGGATTGGCTCACACCGCACGCCAAGAACATGCTGGGTCATTCAATACATTATACACATCATCTGCTCAGAATATTCCACGATTATTTCCATTTATTTGTATGACATAGGTAGAACTTCCCCAGAGTTTTTTTTTTTTAAATTAAAATTGCCCCGAGAATATTCTCAGGATATTTCCATTATCTTCTGAATCAATTTAAGAATATTCCCAGCATATTCTCAGAATACTGCTTGTAAACGAGGAGAGCGGAATATTTTACTTCCTCCATCATATCTTATTTTAAAAACAAACTGTTGAAGAACGAATAATTTACTATTATGCGACTGACGTAATACTTCACATCTGATTTGCCCATCCATCTAATTTTTTTAAAATTATTGCACGTTTGCTTGAAGTAAGGAGCTTAAAGAATAATCACTCAAAACACTGAGAAGCAAAAATGTAAAAATTCACGTATTACATACCTTCCTAATAATAAGATTTATTACCATCACCCTCTCTCTACCACCTCAAAACTTGAACTAAAACTACGTTTTACAGCAGAATTTTATCAGTACTTGCTCGTATCAAGTTTCCACTAACCCATGACAACTTCAAATAAACAGTGATTCCGTTGATCATTATCTCCTCTCAGTTTTGGACGAACTATATTGTCTTGGGTGAAGGGAGGTGCGGGTATAAAATATGCGAGACGCTTTCAAATCTTAAAGTAGGTGTTAAAAATTCAAAGAGGTCGACAAACTTTTTTTCATGAATCCATCATCGGGTCACAAGCAACAAATGCACCAGGAAAATCTTCGAGACTCTCAAATTCTAATGAATTAAAATCCGGAGTGACTATTTGCGATCCGTCGATTTAAAATCCTCGCGTACCGAGGAATTTGCAAGTTTTAGCATACCTGTTTCTGACCTTGAAAATTGCGAGGCATCGAACAAGGCGATGAATTCTTCCGACGAATCCTTTTATTAATGGCTATGAGCATCTCGAGGTTGAGCTCGGACAAAGTCAGCCCGAGAGTTGGAGTTTGATGGTCTCCCTACTCTTTAGCAAAGGGTGCCGTGGCATATCAATGATGAAACCACCGAACCACCAAACTTTGTATATCCCGAGTGCGGTATCTAAAAATGTATCAAAAACTTTAAATTTCTGTTCACGCTCCAAAAATGACGCGAGATGGGCAACGTAATAGCAATGGTACCTCACCCGACACCTATAACTCGGACCCTTGCATTTGAAAGCGTGCAATCCACAAGAGTCTAGTCGCATTGTAACATTTCAAAGTCTTACTAGACGACTTATTCTATTATATTTACATGGAAACTTCCTGGAACTGTGTATCAAACTCCAAAGGTAAGTAATTATAGCGCCGCGCGATTTTTGAAAACCTTCAAATTCCTTTGCCTCTCCTCGAGAGGAACCTTTTTGTCAGGGATTTTAAGAATTTTTAAAAATCGCGCGGCGTTATGTCCAGTTATATTCCTTGTTAACAAATTATTCCTCTTTAACATTGTCCAAAAGTAATCCACAAAAAAGTTCAAAAACAAATTTTCAACCGTTTAAGAGTGAATTAATTAATAATCTGTCCAAGGAAAATTTGCAACACTGCAAAAAAATTTAGCCCCTCTGACTCTGACCTCTGTGTGTATAAACCTCCAATCGTTGCCAAATGTATTTTGATAAAATGAGTATTCGCTGACGAAATTCAGGATATGATTCCGCGAAATTTGCATGGCATTTTATTCAGGGATAACTTATTTTTAAACCTTTAAGGACACACTTTCTTAAGCTTTTCCAAAAAATCCAAATTTCATGGGGGGTATTTGGCAGCATCGAGTGGACATACGGCATTCTTCCGTAGCACGGCGTTAACCAGAGGCTGACACAGTGGTTTTACGGCAATCGGACGAGGAAGTAGAGACCAAACGCCGGAACAGTATCTCCAACGACTGGCGAANGGGGGGGGGGGGGCTAACGGGGCAAGTGTCAATTTTTCGCAACCTGCCGGTCGCGTCTGGCTGACCGCGCTGCACCGTGACGGGGCATAGCAAATAGAATAACGGAAACAGGCGCGAGGCAGCGCGATCTTGAAGCCGCGTTAAGAAATGAAAATCGGCCGAAAAAAGAGAAATAATCCGTGAGCAGCGGCCGTTGAACAATGGGCTCTTGCTCTTGGACGGAGTGCACTCGGTCTTCGCGCCGGGTCGACGTCATTGTGTCCCGGATTTGGGTTAGGGTCACTTGGTCATGTGCAGAAAGCGGGGACTCGCCGCCAATTTCGGACTGGGAGTCCCACGTCATGAGCGCCGTTCAGATGCAGTTCCTGTTGAAGAGTTGAAGATTCGCCATGTACCGATTGCCAAGGAGTCGGGCAGAATATGCCTCAAGATGAAGACTCAAACTACTTGGTACAGCGAAGGAAACAGGGAGGGGGGGGGGAGAATAGAGAGTCTCAGTGTTCGGTGCCGGACACTTTAAAAAACCTCGGGTCAAAGTTTCAAGCATTAGTCGCACTAATTTTTAATGATGTTATGTGATCGCGTTAAAAACTGATCGTTGCAATCAGCGACAATGTAGCGCCGTCAAACTTTAGCAGTTTTTTTTTTTATCTAATTCCCCTTGTTTTTCCTTCAAACTTTGTATTGCTATCAATGGATTTATCCTGGAGTGTTTTGGTGTCCTTTATTGCGCTAAAACATGCAGAACTAACCCCTCCAAGCTCCTTGACCGGGCCTCTAGATGTGCTTGTGCGGCCCTCATATTTTCATAGGAATAATTTCAAAGGACAAATTTTCAAGAAATTATGTTTTATCCAAGAATATATGGCAATGTTTGGAGGCTTACTGTTGTATAGAGTTCCTCCGTAGCACAGCAGCATGCCTAAGTCTATGCTCTCACATCCCCAGTTTAAAGGTATGTGCATCTTCTTGAAATTCAACCAGCAAAGTTCAGTAACTTTTACACTCGGGGTGAACTGATTTCAGAGGCGGATCCAGGCAGCTCGAACGGAGGGGGCGTAAGGGGGGTCCAAGGGCCTCCCGCGGGAAATTTTGGAATTTTTGAAACACCTAACATGCAGTCTGAGTCGATTTCGCCATGAAACCAATTCGTCGTTTCTAGACGAAGGAACGTAACTCCATGGTGAAACTACATGGAATCAGGGGAAAAATCAGTGAGATCATCAGTTAAAAATGCCCGAGATTCTTCTCCTAACACTGGAAGAAAACACATTGGACCTAGAGTCCAGACTCTTAAAAACGTCGACAAGAAAAAATACTCTTGATTCAATCAGATTTAAGCTTAAATCAAGAACCGAGCCTCTTAATTTGAGCGGATTTCCTTTTGATTCAAGCTTAAATCTGCTTGAATCAAGAGTCCTTTTTCTTGCCAATGTTTTCTAGAGTCGTCTGGACTCTAGATCCAACGTGTTTTTTTCCAGTGAAAATTGAAATTTGCGGAGGGGAATTTAAGAGCATTGAAATGAGTTACCAACGTTCTCTCGTGAGGGAAAAAACGAACGGTGAGCCTCTATCATTCTTCTACCCTCCGCTCCTTCCTCCTTTCTTCCTCCTCTTTATTTTCGAGCAAACGAGGGGGGGGGCGCCCGTACGCCCTCCTTGGGCCCGCCTATAACTTCTTTGAGGAGGAAAGCCTTGTCTAGAGTCCCTTTATACTGAGAGTCAAGACAACACCCCTCATGGAGTCACAAACGGGAATAAAGATTACACAAATTGAACGTTTTTCGTAATCTTTGATCGGCTCATTCTTAAATTCCTTTCTCCGTTCCTTCTCTCATTCCGTTTGTTCCTTGTCGAACCCGAAATTCCTCGGTCCATTCCAGATTATAATCTTTGCAATTGGTGACACTGTTGAGGCCTAAAATCCGGTTAACCAATAAGAAATGGATTCGCATTGTCTTGACTCTCAGTATAAAGGGACTCTAGCCTTGTCTATGCTGAAATGCAACTGGAGCCGGGCTCTTGTGAGGAATTTTCCGACGGCAACAAGGTAGGGAGGACGGCTGGAGCCGGGCGCGGGCAGGGAAAGCCTCCGCGAGGATTGTGCAACCGCTTTCCGCCGCGGATGACTTCTCACCGACGGCGATGCGTCGCGCCGCGGGGCGACTCCGCGGACGGCGCGGCGCGGCGCTTTTCTGATCTTGGGACGCCGAAATTAGCCGTGTTTCCATTATTGTTTTATCCGCGTCAAGGTTAGAAGTGCTCTCTTGGCCAGGGCCACTGCTCTTCACTTTTTTTGTTTTCTAACTCATCGTCGGCTTCGCTGGCTTCAGCGCCAGTTTGATCTTGAGCGAGAATCCTCCCGACCGCGCGCGTTCCGTTTTCCTGAATCGCGAGTGCGAACTGCGAGTGCGAGTTGCGAGTGCGAGTGGTCATCTCGGAGGAGCGAGTGTCAAAGTCCCGCCTCTGGCTCGTGAATTGTGCTGGTTCTCGGCGCTTGGGATATGGTAAGTTTTTTTTTTTTTTTTTTTTTTCTTTTTTTTTCTACTGCTGGTTTTATGGCTTCGTGTCTAGGACCTTCAGCCAACTTTAGACTATGTCTATTGTCCGTAGACATCGAGATATATACGCACATCCATGCTCCAGGTTTTTCGAATTTTCAGGGATTAGGGTCGAGAAGAATCTGTTTCAGCAGATCTACACGGTGAAACAACTTTATGCGTGGGACCCGAAGTCGAGGTCACATGGATCTCTGAAGTTTCCGGATCTCGCATCCGAAAACTTGAGGTCCAGCTGCCGAAGTTCGGTTCAGACACCTGAGGTATCCGGTACATGCCTAAGTACTTCAGATGTCTGACCCGAACTTCGGCGGCTTGACCTCAAGTTTTCGGATGCGAGATCCAAAAACTTCAGAGATCCATATGACCTCAACTTCGGGTCCCACTGGCACATGTGTTGTTTCCAAATTGAGCTAGAAATAGTAGTTCTATATTGCAAAATGTAGTTCAATTAATTCCTCTGATCTCTAGTATACCTACTGCCGTGCTAAGCAAACACTCCGTGTGAGCCTTCAAACGTTGCCGTATTTCCTTTCATTAAAAAATAGTTTTCAGAGAAACTTGTGAATAATGTTCTTCCAATTTTCAAAGAATTTTGTCCACAAATCTAACGTATCTTAAACTATAAGGTACTATATTCATAATTTTTTATAAATTAAAAATTCTTCTTCCGCACATGATTATTTTATCGGAGGAGCCCTGCTTCATTCGAATGTTCTTACGGCACTCTTTCTTAGCATAGCGGTATAGTTATTATTGTTTCAGTTTTTCTATCTTAACCAAATCTTCTGCTATCGAATACGAAAAATCATGGAGAATTTAAGTTTTATGTTGACCAGATTCCCTACGAAAAAATAAAGTTTCTCAGGAAGTCTGCAATGTCGCAAATGGAGAAACGTCGTCTCTCATTTTGCCCAAAAATATGTATGTATAAAATTGAAGGCATTATGACTTTCCTCTATCAACTTATATTCGTCTGTAACGATAAACAATGGGACGCGCGTGCTACGGCGCCTTGATACAACTATACAACCTCGACGGATGTCCGTATTGCGTTCAAAAAATTGAAGGCGTTTTGACTCCCTGCTCATACTACCTGTAGTTGATTCGATCGACAGGCGCGTTGGTCGGTGGTGACGGGGACTTGATGCAACTATTTGAACTTGATGGATGTCCGTATCGCACCGACTGAAATGCGAAACCACGTATCTCCATTGCGGTGTTTCAAAATTTCCGTTCTTATTTCATCTCTTCCATGAGAAACAATCCGAATTTACGACTTTAAATTTTGAACCAAATCTTCTGCTATCGAATACGAAAAATCATGGAGAATTTAAGTTTTATGTTGACTAGCCTCTCGAAAGAAAAAATAAAGATTCTCAGGAAGTCTGCAACGTCGCAAATGGAGAAACGTCTTCTCTCATTTTGCCCAAAAATATGTATGTATAAAATTGAAGGCATAATGACTTTCCTCTCTCAACATATATTACAACATTTTATTTTTTATTGCAACATTTTTAAACGAATCAATGCAACAGTTCTCCGGTAGATAAATGAATTTTTTGATGAAATTTGAAAACAGCTGTTATAACTGTGTTCCTTCCTGCTTAATGCGCTCCATTAAGTACCCACTTTTTGAAGCACTACCATCTAATCCAACCATAGTGTTTCCAAAACGATCCATCTCCCATAAAAAATCTCTTAAGGACGCTCAAGTCCATTCGGGATAAAACCCTCTCTAATGTTGTGCGGTTGTGCCTGTATACACAGTCATTTAATTCGTTTCAATATTTCCCTTTTAAGTTCCCTAAAATCCACATTACCAACAATTTAATTATTATTGAATATATCTCTATCACAATTATCATTTTAATATATTTTTATTCTTTAAAATAATAAATTTGAAAAACCACTCTATGCTGTAATTTATAATTTAATTGATCACAAACCCATTTCTCCAGCTTTGCATGCTCTGATTCTGTAGCTCCTGGATGGTTGCCGAGTAAATTCTGGCAAAGGCTCTCCTAAGGACTCACCAAGTCCAAAAGGGGCTATTAAGTCCGTTTTATTATACCTTCACATGAGGTATTCCTTTCAAGAGAATGGAGATACCTATTGCATGTGTGAGGAATTTGCGATTTGACTACTGATTCTTATGTAAAAGTTCGCGAGAAACACGCTGGTGGTACTGGTTTTCTCTGAAATCAACTCCCAAGCTCAAAAAAAGCTCTTAAGTTGAGGCCAAAATGGAGGGGATATCCCACGCTACCCTAAGAGTCCACCTCAACGTAAAGACAAACTCTCCATGCAAAGATAGGGAGCAAATACATTGACAGGGCTGCCACTTTATTTGGGGACTCTCAGACTGAAAACACAGCAACCCTGCTGATGTATTCGTTCCCTATCTTCGCATTGAGAGTTTGTCTTGATATAGACGTGGACTATCAGGATAGCGTGGGATATCCCCTCCATTTTGGCCTCAACTTGAGAGCTTTTTTTGAGCTCGGGAGTTGACTTCAGAGAAAACCAGTGGCACCATCGTGTTTCTCACGATCTTTTACATAAGAATCAATAGTCAAATCGCAAATTCCTCACACACGCAACATCTCCATTAGTCAAGGTCTAATTTTCCTCAAACTTTCAGGTTGTTGATGTGGTTACCGACAAAATACTGGCTCCTGTGGATTCTCCTTCTGGAAAGCGCCCCAGCGGGAGCGCCAAGCGCCGCCAAGGCTGCGTCGCGTGTAGGCGATCCAAGTTCACGGCTCGAGCCGGGCGACGAACTGCGCACGCGCATAACGGCGAACGATGAAGCGCGCATGCGCGACGTCGAGAACTCCACCCGGAGCCACCGCGGCTTCGGCTACTACTCCAAGGAGATGGGCAAGTACGTGAAGCTCCTGTCCAAGAGCTTGGGCACCTTCTTGGGGAGCCTCCAGCGTGAGTCACCCCGACGGAGCGATGACTCCTCCGACGTCGCGGACGTGGAGTCTGCTGGGAGCCAGTCCAAGCTCACCGTCGGGGAATCCCCGGGCGCGGCCCCGGCCCCGGGAGGCAACTCCCTCCTCTCAAAGATCAACAAGGGGTTCAACTACACGAGCGGCATCTCCAAGTACCTAAGCTCCATGCCCGCCGTAAGGAGCCTCACGTCCAGCTTCACCGGCGCCGTCGCCAGCGTCCAGGACTATTTCAAGCTCATTAAACCGGGTCAGTGCTCACGTCATGAAGCTCTTCACGCTATCAGTATTTTTCAGTGGCGTGGCGTGCTTCGCGATATATCGATTGACCTGCCATTTAAACGTATGGAAAAGAATCGATTAACAGGGTGTTTGCAACGAACTCCTTAATAATCGATTTTTTACTATAGCTTCAAATGGGAAAATATACCCCTAATACCCCCCCCCTATATACCCTAATACCACACATGAGGCCGTTATGATGATTTTATTTAATGTTGATATTTTGATTAATATGATTAATTATCTCAATCAGATTTTTTTACTGGTTTAATTTAAGGGTTTTAATAGCCTCCAATCCTCCTTTTTTTATTATTATACTTGCAATAATCGATTGTTCACGCCATGCCACTGATATTTTTGTCGATATATCTGTCGCAGGCAAATGCTCAAATCAGGCATTTAATAAAATGCCCAAGCATACGCTCAAATTATGATATTTTACCAAGTTTTGTGAGTTATTCACGAAGAGATCTCGAGTTCTCGATGTTTTGAAAGTATGAAACTATCAAATATACAACCCTTCCTTGTACTTTTCTCTCCAAACGCTCCTCATATATTTTGACTGTGAAAACTGTAAAAATTCTGCCTTTCATGATATAGGTACTGTAAATTTCAAGACAGGTGCCAATTTTTCCCTGATGAAATGCTGCAAATTTTCACAGAGAATCCTTTCCTGCAGGAATAAAGGTTTTTTGTCTAAAAGTAAGGAAAAAATGAGAATTTCGAACAAAGTAAGAATGTCTGAACATTTGTCTAAGCATTTGATAAAATGCTTGATTTGAATACTTGCCTGCGAGTCAACGTCATGCAGATTGCAGATACTGTACGAGTAAACCGGCAATGAAATCAAACCACTCCACTAATTGCCGGTTTTGGAAACGATTCAATATGAACGCTAGTAGCAATATGTAACAATGCAAATTGTGGCTTAAAATTTTGATCGAATCGTTTTGACGTATTTGAAGGCGTTTATCATAGGAAACTGATAGTTTATATTTTCACCCTAAGTTGGTTTCCTTGCCGCATTGGACAGGCGAGAATACATAATTAATATTGACGAAAATGTGCTACATGTCGTGATAACATTAAAACTGGGTTAAAGACAGATTTATGATTGTTTTTAACTAGTGTGAGATTATGTTGGTATGGTATGAGATATTTAGTCATGAGATCCGAAACTGAGCCCAAGTCAAGTAGGCAACTCAACTAACTGCAAGGCAAAGCGTAGAGTATCATATCATGATGAAGGCGCCTCTGACCGAAAACGTGTTTCACAAAGAGAGGATCCTTCCTTGAAGATGTCCTGGATATCTCGATGAGAGAAACTTCAAATTCTCTGGAAGGGATTTAGTTGAAAAATTGTTTTATTGATGTAATATGTAATACGTATGTAAAATAAGTATCTTTAGAATGCTTAAAGTATATTATTGAACTTTCAAATTGAAAGGATTTTTAATCAATCTTATTTGAAATGATTGAACTGAGAATAGATGTAGGGTACTTATCTGGTATTTATGTATTTGTTTAAAAATTTAAAATACGAAATTTCATTAATTTAGGCACTCAGTGGTGCGGTGATGGAGATCGGGCGAAGAGTTTTGAGGATTTAGGATTGTTTTACAAGACGGATGCATGCTGTCGCGAGCATGATAGTTGCCCGGATTTCATCTTGTCTGGAGCAGAAAAACATGGACTTAAGAATGATGGCGTTTTCACCAAGTGAGTATGTAATGAAACAATCTTACTACTTACTTTCTTCCTCTTAAAGGAGTATCCATAAATGACGTAACGTTCTATGGGTGTGGAGTTGTGGACTGGGCATGCTTTACAAGCCGGGAACGGGAGAAGAGGGGATCAGTGCCAGAGTTATCAAACCGTCTTTATTGGTAAAAAAATCAAAAATCCAAAATATATCATCCTAATTTCTTTGACTTCATTTTTCACGCTAACATTGCAAACCGGCTTAAATTTTATCCAGCTTTATACTCAACAGTTTCCCTTAGTTTTTGAAATCTTAAAAGGGGGAGCCTGTCAAGTGTCACGTAAAGGGGGCCCAAGGTTGTTTTACGAAGTGGGAGTCTAAATTCCGAGGAAGTGCGTCACGTTATTACTATAAACGCTCCCTCATAATTAATGGTTCGTCTTCATTTTTAAATAATCATTATTTTTATTATTTCTTCGAACATTCTTTCTATTTTAACATGAGGGGAAATTTAAGGGTTTTGGAGAACCAGAGTAAACAGCGTCTGTTATATTCTCCGAATCAAAAAATCCATGAAAGCCTGAAATTTGTTGACCGATCAGAGAGCGCCACTTTTTTTGGAGTTAAAGGGTTGGGATGACAATTCTCTACATAGGTACTCTGAGTTTCGGGCGCTACGAGTGACGACAAATCCCGTGCATTTCTGAGGAAATTAGAAAAACGAAATTGCCTTCAATTTTAGACATGCAACACGCACACCCGTGGGACACGATTAGTTGCATCAAGGCGCTAGACTCTTTATCAGTCAAGTCTTTGTAAAGCGGAAGCGCCTCCAATTTTTTAGTGTCGAAAGTGAAACTACCGGACCACGTATCTCGTCTGCGGTGTTTAACAATTTCCGCTCCCTTTTTTATTTTTTTGAAAAACAAAGAATCAAAATCATTCCATATTAAAGTTTTCCCAGGGTTTTCTTCGGACGGAGAAGAGAACCCAAACGGAAGCTTTCAAGAAAGAGTCAGTTGCGCCGGCAACAGGATCGTGTTTTGATTCTTGATTCCCGTAGATCAGCTGAAAGTAATGAGATCCGTCCAAATATCAATTTTTTTCCCGTTCAATATTAACCGAGATATCGCGCTTTGAAAAATTCGGTTCATGACGTCATCCGCCGCGGTAGTGACACTCTTGGTTTCTTCCACCTTACTTTCATCTTAATTATACGTCGAGTAACCAGTGAAATGAGTAGGTACCTCCCTGACTGCTGAAAGCAGGGTGGAAGAAACCAAGGGTGTCACTACTTCTGTGGATGACGTCATAAACCGAATTTTTCAAAGCGCATGTATCTCGTTTAATATTGAGCGTAAAAAGTCGACCTTTGGACGGATTTCATTATTTTTAGCTAATCTACAAAAATCGAGCATCAAAACACGATTCAGTGACCGGCGCAACTAACCCATTGACGATGAGTAGTTTTCCAGGTAAAAATTATGTATGACAGGAATTTTGCATCGGCTCAACCGAGATACGTGGTCTGGCATTTTCACCGTCGAGATGTATTGCGCGCATTGAAGATAGTAAGAGTATAAGCAAGATTTACACAACTCGTAAATTTGTAATGAAAAGTTGAGAAAAATAAAAAAAAAAGTTGTAAAATTTATGTAAAAAACCTATAAATTGTTTTGATAAGTACTTTTAAAATTCGTTCAAAATCTCGCGAATAATTCTGCTGAAGTCGGTCAATGGGTGACATTGATTAGCTTATGGATTCCTTTTAAAATTAACGGCCGGCCCTCTTGGCATAAATTTCAGACTTTCGGCCGGCCAGTCCGCGGACTGACTGCCCAGTTCACGGAATGGTCAAGAGCATCGGTAACAAATTCCTGCCTTTTAATCCCACGCATTCTGTTTCATCTTATCCTACAATGGATGTGAACAAGTTAATCTCACTATTTCCCAAAATTGTCCTAATCCAATTGGACTTCCACAGCTTTTCAATAATCCAGCTCATCTGATATTTGGAGGTCATATTGGAGCAAGAGCGTTTTGAGCTCAGCACAAGGATAGGTCTGAAAGAGTCCGCAATAACGTATGCATTTTTGTTCCAGATTGCACTGTGACTGCGATATACAATTTTACCAGTGCTTAAAAAGTGTACATTCAGCAATAGCTTTAAGTACAGGATTCGAGTACTTCAACATTCTGAAACCACCCTGTTTTAAAAAAGAACATCCAGTGATAGGTTGTAACGCATATAATAGGTAAGTGTTTCTCAGGATTCTATAATGGACCACTAGACAAGGTACGAATTTAAGGATTCTGATACATGTTTCTAAACCAGAATTTCACGTAGAGCACGATTCGCGCTACGAAAATTACTGAAACCAACTCCTAACGAAGATATTAACGTTTTTATTTCACATTGGTTACGAGGAATTTGAACTGCCCGCTCACAAGAAACTCAAAGCTCTACGTGAGTCAAATCGCCCACTACAACGGTTTCAGCAAGCTCCTTAATCGAGCAATGTTCATTTCCCACCATGTGTTGTTCAAACTATTAGCAATTTGCTATAACTGAGCCAAAGCGTCAAGATTGAGGTTGCTAGATTTTTATATCGCAGAGACTGTCATGATAACGTTTAGCGCGGGATGTGAATCACGTAGAGCATTGAGTTTTCATGAGCGGGTGGTTTGAATTCACGCATCAAGAATCAATAAATATCTTCGTAAGGAGTTAATTTCGGTAATTTTCGTTGTGCGCAACGTATTCTACGTAAAATTTTGGCTGAGAAACATGTATCAGAATGCTGAATTTCATACCCTGTCTAGTGGTCCATTCCTCACAGATACGAGAGGGCCGTCTATAAATTACTTTACCCATTTTTCCCGAATTTCTGACACCTTCCTCTTCCTTTGTCCGCTGCTTGTCTTTCAGACTCTCCCCCACAGGCTTCTTAAAAGTTAAAATGTCCTGAAATACCGCCCATGGGCCGCCTGTATTTTGCCGCCCTTTCTCATTCGTTTTGAAACATCCATACAAACCATCAAGTGAATACGTGCCGGAGGAGGAGGGGTACCTACATAAGACGCGTTTACTCGCGTCGGGCAAATTTTTTGTAAAAGCCCTGTCAACACTAGCAAAAGTTCACGGAACTTAGCGCGAAAATTAAGTTCCGTAGACCTATCTCTGCGTGGACGACGCCTTTCATTTATAAGAAAAGAACGAAAAAATTATGAATAAGAATAAATATGAATGTGGTCTAATGAATTTAATTTCCGCCACCGCGCCAACCGCACTGTGTTTGGCGCAATGCGTGAAGTATTCATGCAGTCTTGTAGGCACTATGAGTTTCAAGCCAACCGCTGCTGACCGCACTACGTTTGACGCAATGCGTGAAGTATTCATGGAGTCTTGTAGGCGCTAATATGTGTTTCACGTTGACCGGTCCGCCGATAGGGCTTCCGCTTCTCCTTTCCATCTCAAGTTCTCGTCATCATTGCTCTCTGCGCAGCGCCGCTCCAGGCCAAGTTGCGTGCTTGGTTTCTCTCTCAACTAGACCAATAAAAGGCGCTATTTCTTGTATCACCGAAAGACGAACAAATTAGAAATTAATATACTTTAACTCTCAAGAAATGAGAGATTTTTTCGTATGTTCTCATTTGTAATTTTTTTTCTGAATCAGATTTTTTTCTTGATACCTACATTTGAAAAAATTATAACATTTGTCGCCCCCTAAATTTGCCGCCATGGGCCGCGGCCCATGTGGTCACCCCCTAAACCCGGCCCTGAATGACACTAACAATGAGCTTTTTACATTATTTCAGGATATATTTGAAGGCAACGTCGAGAAGGTCATTTAATGTTCCCGAGAGTGTATGGAATGAGTCATTACTTATTTTGAAAATTCCGCTTGATTCGTTAATGAGCGAAATAAATATTGAACGTGTCAGGTTTTAGTATGGAGCGACCGAACAAAGTGGTGATTTTTGTCGTAAAAAATGCATTCGATTTTCTATTATTGCGTAATCTCTCTCCCTCCATAGACAATTGGAGTTCCCTCAAAGAAAAGGCCTCCGTAGAAAAGGAAGCCCTGGTAAAAATTGGTGGTAGAATCTGTGTTCCAAAATACCATAGACCTTCAGCCGGCTGTAAGATTTCCAATAGCTTTTATAGCTAGCAACACAATCTATCTATACTATAATCTATACTATAAGCTCCGAGACCTCCTAATTTTGCGAAACTGGTAACGCTTAGTTCCAGCGTTCTACCGGGCCGATTTTCATGATTTTTGTGGCTATCGACGGGCAATTGTCTCTAGATAAGCCAACTCTTTTCAGATTTTCAAAATATGGCCCAGGTTTTTTTATATTACGTGGTAAAGTTGCGAATTCTCCCATTTAAACAATGTAAATTTATACTTTTTGTCATAGTTCGTTTGAGCGTTCTACCGGGCCGATTTCCATGATTTTTGCGTAAATCGACAGGTAATAGGCCCTAGATGAGCCCGCTGTAATCAGATTTTGGAAAAAGGACCCAGGTTTTTTTAAAATCACGTTATAAAAGGGAGTGAGTTTACAGAATGCTCCGGTACTGCTACCGCTATGCGCGGGAGGATGCGTAGTGGTCTAGGAGGTTGCGCAGTAGATGGGTAGCCTGCGCATCAGCTCTACACTTATCTACACAAGATTCGCACCAATGTTCTCATGTAGAGCGGTGGCCGTGTCGTCTAAGACGTCGATTGCGTCCACTTTGAACTCGATGTGGGTTCGATCCCCGACCCCTGAAACTTTAATTATTACCTGACTATCATTGTTCATTGTTTTATTACTGCAATATTTCATCAAGCAGTCATTCCAAAACGCGTCCTTTTAATTTTAAAGTCATTTTAAGTAAAGTTTAAAATTAAAGTATACCTCATATCGTAATTTTTTAGGGGAAAAATAAAATTAACACTGATAGGAGGGTAAAAATAGGGCCGCGAAGCGGCCCATTGATGGCGCGGAGCGCCTTCAGGGGGTTGGGCCGCGTAGCGGCCAGGGGGCGTAGCCCCCTAGTTTCTTATAGCCTTTTATAGCCGATGGCGATTAAGCAACAGCCAGGCGATAAAGTGTATACTAAACGCAATTACGGATGCCAGTGACTTGTTGGACTATACTGCTCTCTTTTTGGGCCGTAGTATCTTGATTTATTTTGCCAGGAAAGCTCCGTACTTTTGATGGATGCCTGCCAGTCCTAATATATTAGAGCGCCTTCAGTTTCGTATGATACTGTGCAATACCTCTGGTGTGAAATAGTTGCTTCAAGCGCCGTGGCACGCTACGGCGCGGCAGGCGGGCAGCCAGCGCGAAACGCGCATTGGCGCGTCGCGTACAAACCTAACAGGGATACTTCACGCGTTGCGCAATGCGTGAAGTATCGCTGTTAGGTTTGTAGGCGCCACCCAAGTAGCATTTTGCAACGAAAAAATTGCAATTTAAATGAAATAAAATTTCCAGATGATTTCAACTTTCTTGCAAGAAAATTGCAATTATTTTACAACATCTGACCCCCTCATTGTAAAAAAGTTGCAATTTTTTTTTTGCAAAGAAATTTCAATATTGACGACCTTTAAATTTCAACCCCTAAATTTTCCGGGGAAATTATAATAATTCGAACCCATGCTTACCTAATGTCCTACGACGTTTAGCAGCATAAAATACCGGACGCCCTTGAGTGGGCTTGAACCCGACCCGCGAATGTCATAGCGGAGCACTCTTCCACTGAGCTACAGGGAGCTGATGATGAGCTTGGTTGAAATCACGCCTGTTAAGGCTGTTATCGCATGCATTGCGTCAGTGCCTGGCTCAACATTCATCATAGATTTGATTAACGCCGTTTTTCTCAGGCTTCTTTCTTTTGCCTATTATTTATTTTTTTTCGTGTTATTTATTTTTTTCATATTTTTTTTGTCTGATTTTTTTTTTCGATATCACGTAATAGGTACTCACACTAAATTAACACCGGTGTAAATTATACCACATACTAACTTGAGAACTTAAAAATATTTTCAAAAAATATTTTTAAAATATTTTCAAAACTTTCTTAAGGAATATTTTTAACATGCATGTTTACAGGCAATATTTTTGAATTATTTTAAAAATATTTTTTGTAAACATTTTCAAAATATTCCTTTAAAATGTTTTAAAAATATTTTGAAAATATTTTACTTACAATATTGCCATGAAAATATTTTGATAAAGGTGACAATATTTTCAAAATATGTTGGGCTATATGGGTTAGGTAGGTGAGACATTTAAGTCGAAAAAACTTTAAAACAACTAGAGAATTGGATGCCAGGCACATGGCGTGAATTTGTTACAACATGATTGCACCGAAATTGCAGTCTTTATAGTGCCTAGAAAAACAAGCATAATCTACATTTCTTGCAAACTTATTGCAATAAAATTGCAACTTTTTAAGCGCCTTCAAATGAACGTATAGGCAACAAGCAAAAATTGCAATCAACTCACAATCCATTGCAATGAAATTGCAATCCATGCTACTTGGGCAGTGCGTCGCCGCTCCGCTTTGTGTTAGGCTCTAATATTTAATCTGGCGGAGTCAGCGTTATTCAACTCATGATTTTAAAAAGTTTGCACATCCTGCATGGATTATTCTCATTTTAATTGATGAAAAAAAATATGTTTTAAAGGAAAATATAATGTGTGTTTTGTAAATATCAAGGTTGTTCCGTATCAAACTTAATGATTTCCAAAGCACACGAATTTCTACACAATTTCTTATAGCCTTTTATAATCGATGGCAAAAAAGCAACAGCCAGGCGATAAAGTGTAAAGCCCGGCGATAGGAATTATAGCCCGACTGCATAATTTTTTATCGCTTCGTATACAGCCCGGCCGTATGATTTTCTCCGCATTCTACAGCCAGCTATATGATTTTCTGTAGCCTTCTTCAGCCGGCTATAAGAAGTCCTATGGTATTTTGAAACGCAGCTCTTATCGCCGATTTTTACCAGGGAGGGGGTGGAGGGGGGTTGATTTTTTGACTTGTTAGGTTTTCCAATCCAAATATAACCGTGCGCGAGGATAAGAACATCAGCCTACAGAGGCTAAATATGTATATTGTATCCAGCTAAGCTATTTTCGTCGCGTGGACGGAATTTTCAGATTTCTATGGAAAATGTTCTTCAGTGCCTTCAGGAATAGATTTGTGAGGGTTTTAGTTCGTTTTCGTGCTAAAAGATGCACGTATAAGATGAGAACTTATGAAATTCCTACTAAAATTTCGGGTATATTAATATGTTTCATGGCCTAGACCTAGAAAGCTTTTGCCATTATATTGCTCCTTCGATCTGGCAACGCTTACTACAAAATACCACGCATAGTACTACAATGCGTAAGTTGACGAATTCTTGGTCTCTCATTGGTCCGATTTGTTTTGAACGGTTCATTCATGAATAGCGTAGTAGTCAAGGCGCATGCGCAGCAACCGTCACGATCAAGCACATGCGGTTTAGTTCGTTCATATCCGGTATAAAAAAACAAAGCTAACGATTAGTCTTTCCTTGATTCATTCGCCGTAGATTTCTTGATTGAATTAAAATAATGTGTTTCATGAAGAGTAAAATATCTACAAGAGTTTTAAGAATGTCATACAATATTCACTCTTTTAGCAAACATCTGATAAACAGAATGAGTCGATGTATATCAATGGTAACTTTTCCGCGTGAGAAGTTCAGACGAGCCAAAGGTGTTGGTTATCGATCAAATGTAGGTTGTTTAATTATTTTTTTCCCTCATGATCATGCCAGTCATATCACAGCTGGTTATGGTATTTACATCCCATATACATGCGGGAATAGGCACTTATTGTCCAATGAATCTATTATTACCTTTTTAAATTAAGTAGGAATTAATTCATAAGGTTAGAATGCAAATGCAGGAAGATTTCAACCGATAACTCAATAATCTTTTAATACTCTGGCTTATGTAGATAGACTTTATGGTCTTGCAGTGATTGCTACACAAATTCATAAAATGTACAGGCAAGAAAGACACGAAGAGCTGGTGCTTGGATGATGAGTACCTATTTAGAACTTTTAGAGTTTAAAGCCTCTTATTTGGGACTCAAAATCATGGAAAAATGCACTGCTGAATTAACAAAGCTGAAAGCTTGCACACCGAAATTACTGAGGCTTAAGGGAATCTTTAGTGTTGTTATATTGGTAAAAGTCCATAGTGCCTGAAGCATCATTAAAATGTGAACTGTATTGTGAAGTAGGAGCAGCAATATTAAGAATCCAGGAGGATCATGCATATTGATGTCATGAGTTACCATACTAAAGGATGTTAAAGATATTACATACTCAGTGATGAATTGGTGTAGGTACTGAATCTGAAGGTTAAGTATAATTACAGTAGGTTTTTGGTTGGACATTGATAGATGCGGACGTATCTCCATTACCTATATTTACACTTAAATATGAGCCTTGCAGATGGTAACTAACTTTTTTAAATTTTTGTTTCAGAGGAAAGTGCGTTCAATTCAAGCTTGACAGTAGTCATGAGAAAATATGGCAATGGTTTGAAAATAAAGAATTTCTGTGGTGATACTCCAACTTTGTCTCTCAATTCAAATGCACGACTTGAATTGCAAAATGTCTTTCCTCTTCCTTGTCAAGGGTTACGAAATTGACTGATTGGTGAATTTTGTATAATAATAGATCATGATGAACATTGAGTAACAGTGGTGCTTTCTGAAAATTGATATATACCTTGCGTGCTTTTTTGACATCTTTCACTATAATTGCATGAGATATGAGTCAGAAAATCATCAACGATTTTAACCCTTTTACAATACAAAATTAAAAATTAAATCAAACGAAGAGTGACTAAGAATATAGATTTCAAAAAAAGGTCACTGAATAATTCTCGTTGAAAATTACAGTTCAAGTGTGTACGGTTTGATTCCAATTTTTTGGTTATGGTTATTAGAATTTGACTTGTCTTATACCATACATGAGTATGAAGGTAATAATTTTGGCTTGAATGGAAAGCAAAAAATCGGTGCTAGAAGTAGGAGTTTTTGTGCTCGATTATAGAAGAACTCCAAAACTCAAAATAGGACAAGCAATCGTCCAGCTTGTTGTTGGTAGAGCTGTAGGATTTCAAGACTGGTGGTGCGAGGGTTCTTTTAAATAATGACTTGTTCAGTAATAGCATCAATTTGATTGTTTTATTGTAATATGATTAACAATTTTTCTATTTGATTGTTTTATTATAATTGTGATTAACAATTTTTTCTATCAGGCGAGAGCTCTTGTTAACTGAGACAAAAATGAACATCATAAATAAACAATTTTCGATTTCTTCTCTTTCTTCTTCTAGGAAATGTCTATTATTTGTTTCTCATGGCATAATGATAGCTAAAATTGTATAATTTACATGGTTTGTTGGTCATATGACTTACATTCTATTTTTTTAAAACATTTTGGATATCATAAAATCAGTTATAAGAATTATAATTTATTCATTCGTTTTCTTCTGAGAGGTTAAGTTTTTCAGAAAAAAATAATATTACAGCCATTACGGAGTCATAAAAGGTGATAAATCATGAAACATTATTTTGAACTTTACTCGTTATTGCAGCTAAAAAAGGGAAAGCATAACAGGCTATTTAATTTTGAAACCATGAGGAGTTCCTGATTGAAAACATAATACTTACGTAAGAAAATAAACAGGAGGCACTGAGCAATCAATAAACTTCAACTCTAATAGAAATGCACGACTGCATCCTTCAAATATGCTTCACTCATTTTATATTTTATCAAACTTCAAATTCACACATGGAAGAACTAAAAATGATAACTTTCAAAGTTTGAACATGATTGAAAATCTTGAAAGGACAAACTTTGATAATTATACATGAAAAAATCAAACCCATTTCATAATGGAGAAGAGTAGCCCACGGGGGAAGGGGGGGGGCCGCCATCAGAGGTTGCTGAAATGCACGAATTGGAAGATGACATCTATTGTACTGAAAAGGAGCTAAAATGGACACCAACATAATGATAGACATCACCACTCAACTCAAAAACATTTGCACACAATCATACTTAAAATTTAAAAAAAAAATTGAAATCACAGACCTCTGTAAAAATTAAAAACTCCTAGTAAAATAGAATACACGATCACATTGATGACACAAATACATCTTAAACACTAGGTGAATTCTCTAAGCTTGCACACACTAATAAGAGTTCGAAAGATGAAAATTGCAGCAAGTCATAAACTATTATCACAGTGATTTTCAAACTAACTGATAAGCTCATCTTTTAAAATCTATAAGAATATACAATTTTAAGTCCGCCAAACTTGGGACCAACTGATTTCAAAAAAATAAACTTAAAATAAAAACTATGATACAAGCTTATTGAAAAAATATTAGGCGTTGATAGTTCTTAAATAAAAGAGATCTACGGCTGAAATAACCTCACAGACGAGATGCCCGTTGAAATAGTAATTTCTATCGTTTTGTGAACAATTTGATCAGCTTCTGACCCTATTTCTAATGTTCATGATTTTTTATGAACCACTGGACAAGGTACAAATTTCATCATTCTGAAATGCTTCCTCTTCAAAATTTCTTGTAAAACATGATTCGCGCAGCAGAAATTCCTGAAATTAAGTCCTGACTGAGATGTAATGTTTTTAACCATATTAATAACGAAACATTTGAATTTCCCACTCACAAGAACAACTAGAGTCAACATGAATCAAACAACACGCTACCATAAGATGCGTTGTTAAAGTCCACAACTGCCCAACGAAAATTACCCGCTGAGCGTTGTCAACGAAAGCGTTGGTAAATTCTGGTGGATTTACCCGTTTTCCAAGATGGCTGCTCAGCAAAATGCCCAACAGCTCAGCGAGGTTTTTGGCTGCTTCGGACCGCTGCCGAGTTTGCTGGATTGTTGTAATGTTATTGTTTACATCCATAACCGCCATTTTTTCGCATTTCTTCGCCACAAGTTCGTCACCAGACTGACTTGCAATTGCTTATAATCGTTAATTGCGTCAATTTTGTAATAATGTGGGTGTTAATAAGATTTTTAAATGTTTAAAATCTTAAATTTCAATAAAACTTAACCTCCAAATCCGCAGAATCCCACGGGAATTTAACAACGACACCTCGATTTTCTCCCGTCTGTTGAGCTGAAGTCGTCGTTGAGATGACGTCAATCCCGCTAAGATTCGGCCATTTTTGTTGGGCAGCAAAAGTAATTTAACAACGCACCTATAGTTGTGCCAGGCTTCTCAATAAGCCGACATAGGCTCCTCAACATAGGTTGGTATAAAAACCCCAACCTATGTTGTTCAAATAGTAAATAACGTTTAACAGCTAGGCCATAGCTCCCAGATTGAAGTTATCATATTTTCACTCTGCATGGACTGTCAAGGTAATGTTCAGTGTGCGATTCAACTCAAGTAGATAATGGTTTTTTTACAAGTGGGAAGTTAGAACTCATATATCAACAACATCAATATCTTGGTTAGGCGATACTTTCAGTAATTTTTGTTGTTCTGACATACTTATTTTTACGTAAAATTTTGATGAGAAAACATAAATCATGCTGCATAATTTCACATGTTGTCTGGTACTCTATAAATGTTGGAGGCCTTCTCTTAAAATGTTTGATTTCCAAATAGTTTGTCAGCAGCATTTTAAATCCTTCAAACATCAAAATAAAGTACCTTGTATGTTGAGTATATGGAGGGTAAGGTGACAGTTGACACCAAACATTTGACCTAACAGTTGAAGTTTCAAATAATTCCTGATTTTTATTTTTCAATCCAAAACTAACTGATGAATTTTGGGAATCCTCCTCCTTTCAAATTTAAGTAATCACGAGGATGTTTTAAAAATCTATACCTAGGGTTGATATATCTTTCAGCAAATAGAATTAGAATGCTATTTTGGATGATAGTATTTTGAAAAAAGGTGTTACCATACCTGTTTCAATAATCAATTGGCAACGGGCTCAACCATTTTTCGTTTTTGAGAAATTTTCGTCATAACAAGCGGTGTCATGAAGAGAAAGTACTGTATTTCTATAAGAATGACAGCTGATGAAAACTTTTGAAAATCAAACGATGCAGGTGCACTATTAACATGATTCTTTTTTAACGAAGCAATTGATTTCTTCTTTACATTCCTCTACAGTTTTGAGCATTGCGTTTAAGAACTGTTCAATAGTGACAATATGAGATCCGATAAATTTGACATGAGTTAAGAAAGGAACTTTTCGAAGAGTGCGTCCGCTCAACCCAACACTAGATCTGTGAACAAATAAACAGATAAACCATTGAGAGAAAGTAGAAAATTAGACAAGACTGAAAAATTGGGAATGAAATATGCTAATGTGCTGTCAATCAATTTAAGTGAAACGACAGAGAATTTAGTTGTTGCATTCAGTAGAGATTTTTGATCTGTCCATCTAATTCTATGCAAAATTTTAGGAAACAGAATGAATGGTTTTTTTAGACAAAAACCCCTTACTTCAGTAAGGAGTACAATTTTTTCTCACCAATTTTCCTGTAGACTTCTTGTCTCTTTAGAGACTACAGTAATTTTGGACTTGAGCTCATCGTCAGGTTTTAGAATAAAAAATTAAAATAGAAACATACTTACCACTTTCCTGTATGAGCGCGGTAATCTTCCGTGCATGGACAAGTTCCTACTGATGACTGGGTCGATGAGAATTGGTAGGAACGCGTCTAAGCACAGAAAATTACTGTGATTGTATCAAGAAATGGAAATTACGTTTTTATTCTAATTTTTATTTTAAAACCTGATGATAGGGGTAAGCCTTGAATTGCCATTGTTTTTCTAAAAAGAGAGAAAGTTGACAGTAAAATCAAGAGAAAAGGATTTACCTATTACTAAATCAATAAATACTGATGAAGTTAAACAAAACTGAAAAAAACTCTTAGAGATGGGTATGAGCTTGGAGAGATAGCCAGCTCATACAAGATAATTCACCTTTGTATTCAGTGAAACTTACACAGAGTTAGGGCCAAATATAATATGTTGCAGGTTTGCTATGAAATCCGGGAGTCGCCCCACAGCATGGCAAACCTGCTGATGTATTCAGATCTATCTCAGTAACGACAGTATGATTGTTACTAAAAAAGATTATAAATATGCCGAAGGTGTTTACTTTCATTTTATACTGGTTGATGCATTTTGCCCCTTCAGGCATCTTCAGAGCTTAGGTAGTCATGAATACTTTATAAAACTTTTCCACATGTTGTGGTCGTCAATCCATAAAGACTAAAAGTATGATTGTCTATGCTACAGTAATCTGCTTCCCCTATATTTTTAGGAGCTGCCTTGGCCTGATAGCCTAGTTTTTGGAACAATCTACAATTTTTTTGGAGCAAAATTAACTTCGTGCATAAGCATCATGGCAAATAAAATTAGCTGTGGCGCTGGGAAAAATGCTTTGAGAGCGCTACTGATGCTGCATGATTACAAGATAGAAAAAATCAACAGGCTGTGTCTAATTTTTTAAGTGCCACAGTAGCTCCCCCCCCCCCCCCNATGCAATTAAAAGGCACCACAGCCCGATTTTTAGGCACATTAGGAGCATGACACAAGGGGAAGGCAGAACACTGATGCAGAAACTGTTAGCAAAAGCTAACTTCTTCATCATAGTCCCAACTTGGCAAGTTTTCATGAGCCCAAACGTTAAATTTACAGAAAATCAGCGGCATCATCAAATACCCTCCGAAATTATACATTAAGTTACTCAAATAAATTAGAAATATCAACTGCACGCAACAACTCCCAGGCATGCAAAATAGGTAGGATTGCAGGATTCTGGATCCTGGGTCACATCGGGTAGGCGTAATCAGAAGAGTTACTCGATCAGTGCATAATTATACCCTTATTGAAATTTTATCACTGGGAAAAAATGGTCGATTTTTGCTCTGAGTGTACTTTTTCTACTTTAAAAAGTTCAACCACATAGAAAAATAGGTCCATATTTGTTCGGCACATACTTATTTTTTTTGTACTTTTTTTTCAAAAAGAGGGAGGGTTAGGAAATCGGTGTCTAGGATCCCTGATGAGTTAGGAAACAAAATTTTGTCTGCACCTCTGACAATTCCATTAGGCCAGAGAATGTGATGTTTGAATTATGAGGGCTTTCGGATCAGGGTTTGGTTGTATCCACTATTTCAGTCTATTTGACTCTCATTTTGATCATGGCCTTACCAAGAGCACAGAATGAAAGAAAAAATAAAGGAAATATTTACTTTGATACTTCCAGCAAATGCTTGCTGTTTCTCAAACATTCACTGATTTCATCTTCTGTCTTTCCATCCAGCATTTTAATGGCATCGGTATAAGTGTGCCAGTGAGGTTTTGATTTTCCTTGACAGTCTATCACTTTCACCTGGAATGAAAAGAAATTTTATGAATGTCGCAGATGATGCAGGTAAATTGACAAGTTCCGGTCAAACATAAATAGACATCAGTACATAAAAAATTCTGAAAATGTTTCTAGTATTTACAAATGAACACATATGAGAATAATTTGTGACTTTTCATGGTAGTAAGGCTATTGCAAGATCCAGAGACTGTCTTAGAAAAAGATGTTTCTGATATGAAGTCTCAGATGAGATGTGTTTCCACGCTTTAAAACGTTTAAAACAGCTTTTTTGGTTCAGAAACGGGACTTATAGTTGAATATATCAGGGGAACATTTCACATCGGCCTGGAGCTTATAACATAGATGAGGTGATAACCTATGGTTTCAGTCACCTTAAATCCAATGCAACATGACTGCTGAACAATTAAAATCAAGAAGAAATGATTTCATTAAAAAAGAAAATGATACTAACATTCACTTCAAACAGCAATAATAATCTAGACATACTCATGAAGCCTCTTGTTACAATTGTGACCTACAAGTGAATAAATAAACAAAAGTGGAATGATGAACGGCAGCCAATTTTTCTTGCAAGATCACAAAATCCATTTGTGCCATGTTTTTGCATTTGAAAGAGGGCCATATTTTTGGCGACTAGGTATGAGAGACTTTTTCTCGGCAAAATTTGATAGAATGAAAAATGGAAAAATGCAAACATTCTCATTTTTCATGCGTTTTCCAAGAAGAATTTCGAAACGATTAGGCAACAGCCCCATTCAGCACATTTTGTTGCTCCTCTAGACAAGGGCATACCTCTATTTTCACATGAGCCCCAGAAGGGATAGAGTTATACGGAGAGCAGGGTTCATGTGGAAATTGAGATACACCCTCAACACAGAGAGCGACTATTTATGCCTTGGAAAGTAGATGGCAGTGGATAACTATGACTAAAAAGTAGAATTGAGGTTCAAAAGAGTTTACAGAATTTGGCAAGCTCTTAAAAAAGAAAAGCAATCCACAACAGTGACTCGAAAATTCTTTCTTACAACTTACAAATGATTTTACAATGTAATAAATGTGATGAATAAATATGTAGGTATAGATCCAAAAAAATTTGACTTTTCGTTTTGGATAAATACATTGTGAAAGATGGTAGAATGTGTCAACAAGCAAAGTAGTTTCTCCTTCCCTTGAGGTTCAAAAAATTGTTTTTCCTTTTGTAATTTGGATTCTTTGAACATCTGTTCCTACGATATAACAGCTACCTACTACAGTCATACAATCAGGTCATGAGAACACACAGTGTTACTTACTCTGATGAGTTCCTCCAAGCACGAGGAGTAAATTTTGTAAATAGCGGAGACTTCAGGTGGTCCAATATAGATTTTCAAATCAGCTCGATCTACGAAAGCTAGATCAATTGAGTTTGACAGGTTGGAGGTGGTCAATATTAAGACATTTGGATACCTGAAAGTGGAAAAAGAGGAAACATTAGATCTTAACAGGAATTATTTTATGTGAGTAACTCTTTGGACTAACTACAACATTAGACCAGTTATTATTTCAGTTACAAAAGATTAAGAATTTTGGCTCAAAATTATTGTCTTATAAAGTGACTTTGTGACTTTTAGTGCACAGAAAACGCCTTGCGATTTATTCTTTCTTGGAGGGTGCTCTCAGAAGGAAACTCTGACTCTGATTTTTTGGCCCGACTTGACAAAACATGTTTTCCTAAAAAGAGCCTCCCAAAAAGGGGGCTGATTTTGGCCCTTTTATAGATATTTGATTCGATCATCGGACCGAGGTTTAAGTAGAGGCTTATAATAACAGAAAACTCAGGAAAAAATTTTGAGATGAGTATAAGAACTGTTTTCAAGTTGTAATACTACGTAACGTGTAAAAATACATAAGGGTCAATATGCTTCAATCAAGGTGGATACCTTCTTCTAATCTCGGATGGAAAAAAACAAATTTTAATCCTGAAAAGTCATTGAATTTCCGCAAATAATTGAAATAATTCGATACAATCAATCAATAAATCAAATCGTCAGCGTTAGAAATCAATTCTACCTGTCAAAGTATGTAGGTTTCCGTGTGCTACAGTTATGTTAGGTGCATTTATTCATCCATAAATCGAAATCAAACGAGTTCAATACCAAAAAATCATCGATTTTCCATAAAATATTGCTAAAAATTGATTTAACCAATCAGTGTATCGATTCGGCAATGTTAAAAATCGATTTAACGTGTAAGAATTCATAGGAATCAATGTGCTTATCATGCGCAAACAACGGTAAGAACCCTGTAGACTCATCAATTCAACAAAAAAACAGCAAAAAATTAGGCCAGATTTTGACCCCTTTGCCACCATGTAGCTAAAAAACGGTTCCTATACTCATCCTAACATTTTTCTTGAGTTTTCTGTTATAATAAGCTTCCATTTAAACCTCGGTCTGATGGTCGAATCAAATACCTAAAAAGGGGCCAAATTTTGAGAGGCTCTTTGGCCACACATAGCCTTTTTAAGGAAAAAAACCGCGTCAGCCTAGCCGCATAACCGCAGATATTGCCAAATTTTCTTGGATAAATCACAAATTCGGGGAAAATTTGAAAATGCATATTTGTCTTCCAATTTTTCATAGAATTTTCTTCATGAAATGATCTAAAATGTCTAAAAATTTCAAGGACAAATATTCAAAACTTTTTGTCAAAAATAAGTATTTACCAAGAGGAAAGAACCCCGCACAGACCTTATGGGAAATGGCTCTCTCTAGAATCTGTTGAAACTTGGATATGTTGCTCAGCTAGTCTTTCTGATCAAAAGTTCTAATGGGCCGAAAAAGATCCTGCGAGCGGTTTTTGAGATATTCGCCGTTTTATGTGCGTAAATTGAGGTTTCGCTGGCCGGACTATTGTGCGGTGCTTTTTGTGCCCTTCCCTTCCAGCCTACTCCTATTGCTCTCCGCTTCCCTGCCTCCCACACCCGAGGCTCGGACTCCGACGCTCACAAGGCTTCACTCATCATTGCCGAGCCGGGTGGTCTTTATCACCGTGAGCGTCGGAGTCCAACCCTCGGGTGTGGGAGGCGGGGAAGTGGAGAGAGGCCAGAGTAGGCTGGAAGGGAAGGGCACAAGAAGCACCGCACAATGGTCCGGCCAGCAAAACCTCAATTTATGCACATAAAACGGCGAATATCTCGAAAACCGCTCGTGGGATCTTTTACGGCCCATTAGAATTTTTGATCAAAATGACTAGCTGAGCAACATATCCAAGTTTCAACAGATTCTAGAGAGAGCCATTTCCCATAAGGTCTATGCAGGGTTCTTTGGCAATATCCAAATGCTTGTAAGGCGTTTGTCTCCAGCACAGCAGCATGCACAGAGATCCTTTTTTCTATGAAAAGATACAGATCTCTACAACTTCAGATTATCTGTCGAAAAAATACATTACCTTTTCATGATATCAATTTGGGTTAGAAGAGCATTAACAACTCGAATTGCATCAGACGGTTCCGTTCCAGCCAAGACCGCATCGCGAGCTCTTGCTAAACTTTCAACTTCATCGATTAACACACAAACAAAAGATTCTTTGAAGGCTAACTGCTCTTTGATCTTGTTGAACATTTCTGTTACCAATTTTCCACTCTAAAACAAAAACGGAATTTTAATGGAATAGAAGGCAAATCAGTGATGAAACGGTAGAAGTGCATATCTCAGGTTACAGCATTGTAGACTTCCTGTCATACTTTATTTTCCACATGAAAAACTATTAAACGAGATTTGTTAAAAACTTCAGTGATTTTTTCTCGCTAATTAAAGAAAATTTCACGCAAAGATGTTGGTTCAATTTCCTTAAAGAAAGAAAAATAGGAATTGAAACCAAATATTTTTGTTAGAAATGGACCTTCTGTAGAAACATGCGGAAGTTAAAGAAAACTAAGGTTGGGTCAATTTTTGCTCATCTCATTTAAACAAGGACAGCTTGGTTACACATGCTACCAGATTTCTGTAACCATTATAAGGAAAGAATTTTACATCATGGAAATCGTTGGAAGAAAATGATCATTTGAAGAGAAAATTATTGAAAAATTAGTGAAGAGACAACTTTACCTCGGAGAAATATTTCGAAAATAAGCTGTGACTGTTGATCTCCATAAATTCCGCGTACCTGTACATGTGACTCAGACGAATGGATAATTTTTGGGCCAACGCCTTACACAGGGATGTTTTGCCAGAGCCAGGAGGACCATGTAATAGGACAACTTTATTCCAATTAATGATTGTTGGATTCACTCCTTTTTGGGAAAAGAGCATGGTTGTTTCAGCACACTTCAGTAACTAAAAAATGACAAATAGCTACCATTAGTCAAGAATTGAATCAAGTGATGTCAATGAAGTGAACGAGAGATCTTATCAGACGAAGGTAACATACAGTTCACTTTTTGTCCATGTAGAACAATCTGAGTTGGTTAGGAGGAAAGCCATGATTTTAGGGATGAAGTGCAAATTATTGACATGCAATCTATCCTCCCTCTTAGTTGCATTTCATAACACTTGAGGTGGATTGGCTTTTTTCGAATTCGGGCACTACTTAAAAACATTTAAAAAACAAGAAAAAAAAGATTATCTTTAATCTGCTCACTATAATTGCATTTTCGTGAACGAATGTTCTTCTAGAATGAATGTACATTTTATAGATGCAAAGATTAACAGTGAATATGATAAAGATCTGCTTTTCTCCTTTCCTCTAATTTGTGAAAAGGGTCCAAGCCAAAGCTTGTAGGAAAATAACATGTTTAGCTAGACTCTTCATTGCTTTATGGACTACTTGTGAGATTTGTACAAAAAAAAGTAAGATTCTCTTTTCAGAAACCGCTTGTAAAGTTACATAAAACTAAAGCAGAATGCAGATTTATAGAGGATGGGGGGGGGGGGGGTTCCGACTCACTTGATGTTTGACAGTGGTGTCATAAACTAAACTTTCCCAAAGCATATGAAACTCTAAGTTGGGCAAAAGGCAGTGGTTGGCAGCGCAGGTTACTTCCGTTCCATCTTCCATTGTAATTAACTCTGCTTGCATATCATCACTGTTCAGACGGTAAATATAAATTTGTACGTTCACATCTTCCAAAGGACGAGGAGACTGACCCCAAATCTGTTTTTGAAAGAAAGCACAAATTAAAAATACATTTCCTGTCTCAGAGAAGAAAAAAGTTGTGTTAACTATGTATAAAGATTAAATATGGTAAATTTTTACAGTTCCTGTATCACTCTGTGTACACTTGGAGGTGACACTCAGTTACTCAGTTACATCAATTTGCTAGAATATTAGGTTGTTTTAGCTGAAAAAAAAGCTAAAATGTTGCATATAGATGGCTAAAGTGCAAATTGATGTATTCTTGTTTACCGTCCTGCCATACTTTATTATTTTTTTGAAAACTAGTCAACTTAATTTCTTGTAAACTTCCTTAATTTTTCTTCTCTATCAGCAGCATATTCTTATGAATTTCATGCTGCAAAGTTGGCTTATTTTTCTACGACAAAAATTGAAACGGAGCGGAAATTTTGAAACACTGCAATGGAGATACGTGGTTTCCCACTAAAGCCATTGATACCTACTTTTCAAATGGACCTAATGGAGAATTTGCATGCAAATTTTTTTTTGCTTCATCTGATAGGGCTTAAAGAGTTGATTTCGTAGTATTTTTTATAATTATTTTCTGATATGGGAAATAGTTTAAAAATAGATTTAAAAGTGAGAAAATGCACCGCCGAGTGACATCATCTGGCAGCAGTTCCCATTTAAACTCACAAATTTTAGCAGATTAGATCAGTTTGTCATGGCTTCTCCAATAATTGTTCAATTCATGAACTAAGGGTATCCTCTTGTTCGGTTCAGTGGTTTCCACTTGAAAACGAAATTAATCCAATTTCAGACACTTACAAATTCTTTATTTCAGGGTTACCAAACTGGATTTAGGTTAGTAGAGCAAAAAAAAGTTTTTTCAGGTAAAAAATCATGAATTGCACAATTTGAGTTGAAGTTTGACGTAGGTGACATTGATGCCAAATACCCCCCTTCAGATGATAGAAACGTATTTGTGACCTTTAGAAAAACATAGCCCTAAAGAAAAAACGAGGTGTTTGTATTTCGCTCACTTTAGAAAGAGGTTGATGATGTGAGTGGGTAAAGACATTTTTGACAATTTTTTCAAAAACTTTGCAGTTCATGCTCGAAACTTGAACCTCAAAGAGTGATCAAAATTACACTTTTTGTTGAATATTGTTACAATAACGGATTTTGCAGTTTGTCTTCTAAACTTTAAAACTCAGAATTACCGTAAATATTAGCGCTAATATTTGTGGGAAAGGTAACATGGCACTCGCCATAATCCACAATAGAGATAAATCAGTAACTGCTACCACATCATTTTTTTTCTCTGTAGAATATGACCAGGTGATACTTGACTATTAAATTTTGGGTAAAATTGAAATTTTCAGGAGAGACCTCTTCATTTTCGATGTTAGAGTTGAAGACTTCACAAACTCGTATCTCCTCCACATGATTTTTTAGAGTTTCATTCTTGAAAAACTTGATGATAGAAGATGGTACGATTCCGCCAGCATTCTTCAATTCTTGAATGACCAAGGCTTTCAGTTCTCCTTCTGGTAAAGTACTGAAAATTTAAGAAATTAATCAAAAGTTAAAAAGTAGGTAGTTGAGCTCTAAGAGTCAAACTCATCTATCAATGAACAGAGTGTAGAACTATGTCCTGTCATACTTTATTTTTTCTTCAGAAAACTAGTGAATGTAATTTCTTGAAAACCTCCTTGATATTTCCTTTATTTCCTTATTTCCTTTATTTTCCTTTATTTCTGTGAGTAGAATAATGCGTAAAATTCAAGCTCTATGGTTGGCTGGTTTCTTTCAGGAGAATAAATAGGATAGGAAATTTTGAATCATCTCAATGGAGAGAGTGGTTTCACACTTCGTCCATTGATATCTTGACTGTTGTTAAGTAATGTTGGGATATCCACAAAAAAATAATGATACTAAATGTGTGGTTGTCATCCTAGTACTTGAGAGAGATTGTCTTCAAGAAAAATCAAAGAGAGAATAAGAGACTCAAGCATTTAAACCATCATACATGACCAATCAGAAGAATGCTTATGTCTCTGGGTCTCCTGAAAAATAGAGATTTTGGGGAAGAAAAATCTCACCGGATGGGTATTATGACAAAAATTAAGTACTAAGTATACTATTTAAGATGTTAATAAAACTCAATCATCCTATTAGTAGTTTTGCACAGAGGAGTTGTAGTTACTTCAGAGCTAGACAGGCAGGTGGGCATACCAGAGGAAAATCCCTGCGAGGTAGTTGATAAATTCTATGCCAAATACCTTTAGACTGTGACAGAAGATCCGTCATCTTGATCTCGAATTTACCATCAATTCTAAATTGATCTCAGTCGATCTTCTGTTGAAGTCTATCTGTGCGTACTTAAGCTTAGGTATTTGACATGGATTTAATGAGGGGTGGAGATAGCTTAGCCTGCAACCTAATCGTCAAACAATATTGTCCAGCTTTTGATAGTGATGGAAGCTGAGGGTAAACATTTCAAGTGAGACATAGCGACAGTGTAGGTCGGCAAACACATGATTCGGTTTGTGACATCTTGTCATACGTTATGTTTTGAACGGAAAACTACTCATCTGCAAGTCTTCAGAACTGCCTTGATTTTTCTTCGGTGTGAAGAAAATCCTGCATAAACTTCAAGAAATGATATCAATTTATTCTCCTTTAAAAAAATAAAATGGAGGCGGAGATTTTCTTTCTTGGAGATAAGTGATTGCGGACTTGGACGTCAATAAGCCAACCCTGAAACAAGATTATCTCTCTGATGAATATGAGAAAACTTCCGCTGAGCTGTGCCTTTACCTCAATTCATCTATCTTTGATGACAGGCATTTTTATAGATGAGAGTTCCTTCAGGGAATAAGTCCCAGATGTGTTTGTGTTGCGGCTCTCCTGGTTTGTGGCATGGCAGAGATTCATTAGATTTGTCGCTTTCCACTTTTCATCCAGGAGAAAAATTATCGGTTGAATAGAATGAAAGGAGTTGAGGTTGAAATTTAAACTTTGCATGGTGAAAGAAACTTCATTTACCTTTTCTCCTGTCTCAGCACCTCGATATGAACATTTGTTTCCATGCTTTGATTTAACGCTGGGTGAAATTCGAAACTAAATACTGTAATAGCTAGTTCTGAACTTTATTGAACAGCGCTACAACTACTGGTTCCACCGGTCCTATCGCCAGGATTCGCTGCTTCGTTTAGTTTAATCATTAAAAGTTACTGAAACTTTTAAGTTTACCGGGTATTTACCCTTTACTGAATACTGATTACTGAATCATTCACCGAATACTGCTGATAACAAGAACAAGAGTCGACGGTCGGTAAATTTGGCGCGCGTTCCCGCTCATCAAACCGCATCTCATCAATCATCAGTATCAGTTCACGACCAACCAACGGATGCCCGCTAATTTCAAACTGAAGGGAACTCGTACAGGGAGCTGTAGAAGGGGGGGGGAGGGGAGGCTACGAACCTGCAACACCACGAGCCCACAAAGGGTAACCCTGAATTCTGAAACAGGTGATTTTTTTGAAGATTTCATCTAGTTAAACAAGATTTTTTTTTCTTGACGCGAATTCTAATATGGTGAAGGGCGGGAGAAAGGTGGCCCAGAATTGCGTCCTTTCGCTGTGACATCAACTATTGCCAAATTTGATTGGGCAATTTAATATACAACATGATAACAGCTGTGTGGATTTTTGTGCAAATTTTAGTGGATCTTCTGCATGGTACGAAGCAAAATCCTTAAAATTTTCAAAGGAATCCGCACAAAGGCTCTCTAGTCAAAAATTACTTTGCCCAGTTAAATTTGGCAATAGCTGATGTGGCTTGATTCCTCTCTGTTAAACACGGTCCAAAAGTGAAATAAGTACGATACATTTACCTTGTTAGGCGGCTTTGATGGGGTAGGGGTTGCCATTAGAGCCCCCTGCCAACCCTTAAAAAAGGAGGAATAATTAACTCTCTTGAACATTTTACATAAAATTCCAAGACTCTAGCAGTTAAAGGTAGCGAATTAATGTCCTGAACCTTCTTTCTCTCTGTGCTAAAGAAATTTTAGGTACCTAATTTTTAGAGTAATTAAAACCAGATTCATCAGTGTACATTCGTCTCTGTCTTAGAGAGGAAGAATTTTACCTACCGTCCTAACTCTATATTTAGTAAGGTATCAATAATAAAAGTTGCACCCATCTTCACGATGCAACATTCCTAAATCTTAGCGATTACATTACTAATTTCTCACAGAAAAAAGGAATACCTATACTTTACTGTTTGGAATTTTTACAGATATTTATTAAGTGCGGATATTTATTATAGTGCGAATTCAATTGGTATTAGTTTTTGTATAATAAAGTGAAAGGGAATGAAAAGACAAGGCCAGGTTTCCAATAGAGAACTACTGTATCTGAGTAACAGCTGACTCGCGTCAACGTCCCCTGCTGTTGGTCCCCTGGGCTTGCGGCTCCGTGTACAGGACTACCACATCAGCGGATATGGACAGTTTAGACACTGTTAGTTTTGCAATAGTGTACAGTAGAGTTATGACAGAGTGATGTCATTTCAGGGACTTCCTATTATATTTAAGGACTTTCAATGAGGTATCTACCATGCCAGTGTCTGGCCATGTCAGTGGTCGGTTTTTGATCGAACGATTCAATTGCATAATTCAGATTTGAAATTGGAGGTTGAACACAATCCCCTAAAATGTTTGACGAGTATAATACATCTATTTATCAGATGACTAAAATATGTTGTGCACAATTCTTGGCTCAAATACAAAAGCAACAGATGGTGCACACAATAACTTTTTTCAATAATTAAGAGTCGGTCACCCAATTTCATTATATTAAGTTTCCTAAAAAATTTTACAATGCATACCAAACATCTCCAAGTACCTAACATGAATATACTGAGTGAAATTCATAGTTTGTATAAAGCAATGGCACCTTTGAGAGCATCACCTAATTCCCTTATTGGAAATAAATATTGATGAATATCTCTTGAGCCAGAAATATATGACCTTTAAAGAGAAAAACAGGGAGGGAAAAAAATATTTGTTCTTTCAAAACAACCCCCCCCCCCTCAAAAAAAACCAGGAAGATGTGGATGAGATATTATTATATTTTTATTACAATTCCAATCCTTACTAGATTCATTTTTTAAGTACAATATACAATAACAAGCAATCACCCGAATACTCAGGCTGGACATTTATTTTCATTTTTTAATCCATTAACATCCATGACTTCCAACAATTTAGGCTGTTGAAACAACAAACAAACAAACATAGAATTGACAACAACAGTCTGTATAACATTCTACAACAAGGCTCGGTTGACTGGAGGATGTCGTAAAATAATAATAAGAAAAGAGACAGTCTACTTGCAAATTTTTTTTTGGCTCTCTATCCACACAATGATTATGGTCGAAAATGCATGATTAAGGAATTTTTCATGACAATGGACGCCTTCCATCAGCTCGGACACTGAGCAGAGCCTTGTAAGAACTTTGGGAAAATCCAATCTTGAAGAGTGCTAAATTTTCGATGCTGTCATTTCCTCATAGCAGTAACTGCAAGAAAAGGAAGTTGTAAAAAACTCATGAAACAAATGTGAAAAAAACAGAAACATCGAGGGAGGTTCACTAATACACAAGAAGACCACTTATATTATCAGTTTCGGCAACTCTTTTTTGGTGCATTTTTTTTAAAAAAAAAAAAAACAAAAAAACTTTAATTTGGCACAGCTTTGAGTTAGTTTCAATTACGCTTCTATTTTTTCAATTCCTGATACAGTTCATTATTTCTCCCACATAAAAATTGACTGAACTTCACTGGAAATTTTAAGTTACTTAAAGAATTATAACTTCTAGTAATGAGTAAAACTCATTTTTTTTTACCTTTTTTTTTCATACAAAATCTAGTAGGAGGAGGTCCCTTGATTTGTGAACATTTGCAGTTTTCAAATATTGATGGCAACGGTGCAAAATTATGTACCTCCGTTTGCAACAATTGCAGACTTTCTGTCATACTTTGTTTCTCCTTTAGACACGTAGTCAATGTAATTTCTTGAAAACATCCTTGATTTTTCACCTCAATTGACTGAATATTTTTTAAAAATCTCAAGCCTTGCAGTTGCCTTGTTTTTCTTCAAAAAATTAAATAGGAGCAGATAAAGTAGAATACATGGTTTCCCACTTTGGCCATCAATTTAAAATTACATCTTCCCTTGAAATTTTTAAGTTTAACAATTGACTCTGTAAGTCACTGCTATAAGAGGGTTGTTGAGAGTGAAGACTTTAAATGCTTGTGGTGTACTTTAGTTGGAGTAAATTAAAATATGACAGGACATCTTTCTTTCAGAATAACAGGGATCATATTACCACATGAGAAAAGAGTGCTTAATAGCTTTTCATATTTTTTTCAGCTCAATTATAAAAATATGTGAATGCAGGCAATTTGTTTTTGGTATATTTAAATTAGGATATTCTTCTGTGCGAAGTTTGTGTGGTAAATTTCCTGATATTTGAAGTGATGGCTCAAAGCTGTCTGGAAGAACTCCTTTTACAGTTAAGTTATCGCATATGGAAACTAATACTTATTCAAAATTTTCTGCTATATATGTATGCTTTTTTTCATTTTAGTACTGAAACAAGACATTTCGTACCACTAGTGTTAAAGTAAAGCCCCCTCAAGCGGCCAGAAGGAAACTATAGGCTGACATAAGGTGCATTGTAAAATAGTGATGGCCAAAGTGCAAAATCAAATTTCTCCGTTTGCCAAGTTGCAATTTCTTGTCATATTTCATTTTTTCTCAAGAAAACTAGCCGAAAAACTTTCTTGAAAACTTCCTTAATTTTTCTTCTCTGTTAGCAGAAAATACCCGATATAAATTTCAAGCAAAAAAGTTGGCTTGTACTCCTCGAAAAAATAATAAAAGTGCAGACATTTTGAAATACCATTATTTTATGTGGTTTTGGACTTTGGCCATTGTATAGTGTAACATGAGACGCATTGTAAAATACGATGAACTGATGGAGATGCAGAATGTCTTGGAATTTTACAATTTCAATAGTACCATTGGGCTTTAAGCATTATAAAAATAAAGTATTGAGTAACAATAACAAAAAAATAAATAAATAATTGAATCAACAGAAAAAAGAAAAAAAAAAATAGTGCCAAATTTGAGAACAAAGATACTAAATAGAGAAATAAACAGTAGAAACAATAGTTTATTAGAAATACACCTAGATATTATAAAATAATTAAAAGTTGATGAACTCCAGGAAGAAATTAAAATTTAAGTGATAGGAGATAAAAGAAATTATAAATTAAAAAGATAAAATATCTAATCATGAATGTTAACTCTTTGACACAAATTATTTAAATTATCTTGTCTAAAGAAGTTTGACAACATCATGAAATTTGAACAGTCTTAATAATAGCTAATAGTACACCTCATGCATGAGGTGACGCAAGTTTGCAAGTATAATGGTACCCCTAGTCTCGTATCAAACACCTGTACATCATGGTTTTATTTACAGTACCTAATAATGTTTTATAACTACTGACTTGAAAAAATATTCAATATAAATTAAAAGATCCTCTGACCATTGTAAATTCATTATTCTCTGGAGAAAGCGGAAAATAGTTTAGTCATTTGGACAGCTGGAAAGTCTGATACAAGAAACATAATATATGTTGTTAGCAGCTGCACAACAATAACACTTTTTCTGATCAAGATATGGCAGGATATTTAAACTTCATTGTATGTCTTAATTTACACTTTGGGGCATAAATGTTGCTTGTTGCCAACAATCGCAGTAACCTCTGAAGATACTTAAAAATTGTTTGAATAATATCCAGAAATCAAGGTGCTTGATCAGAGATGCAGAAAGTTCTTGGCCTTCCCATTTCAAAAACACCTTTTCCCTCAAAATTTCAAAAAGATAACCTCAATATGGCTCTATACATATTAATGCCAAGATTTTGGAAAAAACATGTAATGCATACCAAGATTTGGCAAAAGCGCGCGCTTTGGTCTGAATTTTCATTTTTAAAGCCCCTTTTTGAGCTCTACCAATTGCGGCCCTCTCAGTGACATGGCCTAGAAGTTTTAGCACTCCTGCATTTGATAACTCATTTAAAGGCTAGCCCCAACCGCTAATAGACTGAATGTTGGAAACCATAAATACGCAAACAAAGAACAAGAACAAGGATGCACATAATGCAGTCCATATAATATCTAAAATCTAAGCCCCAGTCATGAAAATTCAGTTGAAAACAAGGATCTATGATCTTGCGGTGGGTTATCCCATTATACATCCTCTCCCTACTTACGTTCTAGACCACCCTTACCAATGATGGAGACCCTGTCTGAGAGAGATCTTCTTATCAGCAATTTTTTGAAGTAAAAGATGCTTTGGGTTAAAAATCCTAATATAAAGACGGTATTTTTGTAGATTTCACGATACAGTGCTTTGATAATGATGAAATGGACTGAACTTTTACTTTCCAAGCAAACAAAAGTAGATGTGTAAAGTTCAAGACACATTTAGGTACAACTGTGAATACTGTGCATTCATTTAGGTGAAATATACATGGACAGATAGACATGAACGGATTATTCCTTTGACATTCTCCACTTTGAAACTTTTAGAGCTACTTCAAAGATCATTATAACAGGAAGGAAACAATGTGCAGACTGTATCGCTATGCAGCTTGTAAAAAATAATGACATTTATGACCTAAGATCAGGACAGATTTGGCTTCTGGCTGACCTTGACTTTTGGAAATGTGCTTAGTCTCTTCATTTAAAATCAGAGTACATGTGATGAACAAAGGCAAATTTTAGGTATTGATACACATTAGGAATAACAATTTGAGAAACTACAGAATTAGACGAGTACAATCAATAGGGCAAGCAAAGTTTAGGAGTGAAAGCTTTATTTTCCAAGCGAAGATCTTCTATCAAAGTAAAGGGATATGGATTTAGGATCCAGCCTTGGGACTTTGTTCATTGGCAAGGCAAAAAAATGCTAAGACCCTGAGCTAATTAATTACTAAAGAGCTTCTGATGCATTAACAGTAGATTCTGTCAATCTAAAAAGAGTGCCTCATATCAAGAGCTAATGAACTATACCCCCTAACTGAAAATTTTGGCGACAATGAGTTAGCAACTTTGTCGCATTCTACAGTACATAATACGCAAGAAAAGACACATTAATTGCAGTTTGTTCTGTTGTGTTAGCTGGAGTACATGATTGAAAAAAGTAGGATTATATTGGTGGGAGGAGGAAAGGAGAGAATGGAATAAAGGAGTAAAAAAAAAGATAGAAAAAAAGAAAAAAAAACCTACAAAATTTTGGAGTAGAGAATGGTTACAACTGTCTACGAAGCCTCTCATGGTGCATATCTTACATTCTGATAATGACGTGGGGAAAAAAAGAAAAATATAACCAGATACAAGGGAGAACGTGGGCTCAACCACATGAAAAAAAAGGTTTAGCTTTCTATAGCTCAATTTAAGTCTTGGGTTGTTGTATAAGGTCTGTCGGGAAAGTATCCCACATGGTGGATTATCTCAATATTAACAACAGATTAGAGGTTGAGGTTTGAGTTGAACTTTGCTCAGACTCCCCTGAGTGCAAATGCACAGCCACACCATCACACGTTCAGTTAGTCATTTGCATAAAATTGATGAATACGCATAAATCAGTAGTGAATATCATGATTTCTTTTTCAAAATATAACCAAACCCGAGAAAAAGTTTTGCATCCACTTTTGCTTTGAACTCAACAAAAAGTGATCTAGGACTCTATCTGAATGATTCAGTATGCGTTTGCAATTAATTCAATGAAAGGCAATGAAAAGAGAGTTTCAATTATGATAAGTTTCGATAATGTCAAGGCCATGCTGACTGTTTTCTGCTGTTGTTCGTGATGTTGTCTATCATGGATACAGTCTCCTTGGTTGGACAGACAACACAGAAAATTATCCAAAAACTTTGCTCTGTTTACCAGACCATTAAGGACAAACAATCTGAATTGCAGAGTTTGCCTGTAGAAGAGCATGTTTAAAAAAATATTTGTTTTTTGCCAAACTCATTTGAAGCTTTGTGAAAGTGGCTTTGCACATTTAGGCCTTTATTTCCACATAGGAGCATTGCATCAACTTGTCAGAGCATGGTGGTGTGTTTCCAAAGATGCACTGATGCTGTGTGACTGATTTTCAAAACGAAGACCAATTTTACAGTACGCCCTTCTGCAAGCAAACTCTTCAATTGTAGGCAAGCAACGACTAGACACTTCAAAAAGATAACACTTGCCACTCACTCCTACCATCTTATTCAACAGTTCTTGGCAATGCACAACAACACTCAAATTTCACTCACCCCTTACAACCCCGATCTAGCGTCCCACTATGTCTGGCTCTTTCAAAAGCTCAAAACTCTGATGAAAAGTTCAAGATTCAAATCAATTGGGGACATCAAAGACAGCACAAAAACACTGATAGCAACTCCAGGTACTTCCAGAGGTTGCAAAAACACTGGGCCGCTTGTGCGACGTTTGAAATGCGGCAGCGTCAATGGAGACTACTTTAAAAGAGATTAAATCCCTATCATTAGATAAGATAGTTTATTTTCTAAAAAATCAAAATTCGGATACTTTCTGGACACACCTCATACTATCTAACCTTGTTTTTTACAAGACATGAAAAGAGGATGATAACAGATTAAACATAGATAAAAGAAGAAGAAAGCAGCTCATGACAGTCCTGATCATGAAAAACGGCAATCTTTTTCAACAGTCCTGTTTCCTGAAATCAAAGATTACCAGAATAATTAATCACCAACTGGAAAAAATAAGGCAATATCTTGAAAATGGTATCATGAAGTCTNGGGGGGGGGGGGGGAGAGGATGTCACTGGTCATGAAAATCATTAACTAACAATTGATTGAAAATTAGAGATATTTCAAAGAGAAGAATTATCAATGTTAATGGCGACGGATTTTTTTAGTCTGTTTCCTTAACCCTCGGTTTGACTGCTTGTCTTAATGCATTGTAGCATAGACTAAGATCTCTCCCATTTCTCTCAAATTAATTGCAAAGCATGTGTTAAACAAGTATAAATGCGAATGGTCTTCAATACTGATGAATATGCTGCATCAAGAAAATTAATCTGACAGCTCCTGCAGTGCTTATGACTTGGTAAGGGGCATGGGACACTGCAAAATACTGTGCTGGGTAGCACCTGCCAGATTCACTGATGTGACCTACCATTGCCTATCATACGGCCGCTGAGCCTTGCTAAAATATATATAAATATGGTACATGGACAGTATAAGTCCGCAACAAAGTTTCTCATTTGAAGTGTTTGAAAATCTACGCTCCTATTTTATTTATTTAAGGGAGAACAAACCGATATCATTCCTTGGAGTTTTCGCAGAATTTTCTTTGCACATAGAAGAAAAATTACAATAGTTTCTACAATTACTGTTGAGTATTTTTTTCTAAAAATATAAAGTATGATAGGAAGTCTGTAACGTCCCAAACTGAGATACAAGGTTGCGGATTTACACTATCGATACACCATAGATACGTCATTGATACGACAATTGAGGAGCATGGTCCAACTTTACCGTGCATTACAATAGGGCTCTTACTGGTTGCCCTACTGGAACAAGAGTAAATTTACACTCCCAGGGGAGTGGCACCTGCTCTACAGGAAGTATTTATTTGTTCCTAACACAATTCACAGATTTATTCAAAATACAATCCACTGTATCTCTTAACATTAGGAGAAAATATCCATTATTTGTCTACTTTCTAAAAAATAAATATTTTATCAGAGGAAAGGGAACATTTGAATGCTCATACAGCACTATTTACTAGAGCAGCAGTGTACAAAGATGCCAATTAGGATACTTCTTTATCTTCTTGGGAAGGAAGAGACCACTTAAGCTCACCTAAGTTTAATGATTCTTCAGTAGCGTCGATCAGGCTGCTGAGGCTGTTGTCCAGGTTGACCCTGCTGCTGGAACTGCGACCGAACTGCTGTGGTTGCGGCAGTTGTTGCCATACCCCGGACATGTTCATTACTTAGGAATTCAGTTGTAAATTCTTGTGTTGCCTTAGCAAAACTTGCCCCAGAGCTACGGTAAATGCGATGGATCTAGAACACAACAATGATCAGTGGGTATAAAAAGTAATCGATCTCAGCTTCAAATCCACACCCAATAGTTACCTTTGATCGCAAGAGTAGAATACGTAAGAAGTTTAAACACAACAGATTATTGAAAGTCATTCTATCCAGTAGATTATAACAGGTCTGATACACAATGAACAGAGTTATGTGTTTAGATGTTTGTACTTTGTAGAGAAGCAAAAAACATCAGGAAACTTAACAGCATTTGTGAGATGCAGTGACCAAAACAAATTGATGAATTTTGGGCGAACAGCAACTGGATGCTCCTATAGAGTGGTTCAAAAATACCAACAGTCATAAATATTTGATTGCATCCTCCAGATCGCTTTCAAATGCTAAAAAATGTCTTGTAAAATATATCAGCGCATCTTTATGAAATTGAGAGGGTGTGGAAAAAATAAGTCTTACCCCCATTCAGGGTTGCTACAGTACTTGGAGAAAAAAATTCCCTGATTTCCCTGTCATACTTTGGTAAAATTCCCTGACAATTGAGAATGTGTCAGATGGTCAAAAGGGCACAGTTTGAAATAGTTTTCGAGCGAAATATCGATGGTGAAAGTGCAGAAGTGCGTATCTCGATTTTTGACAGTTTCGAGTTAGCTGCATAAACGTGTTGTTGGAGATGTCATCTATCTGCCAGCAAGATATTGTAATAAAAAAAATCAGAAAGTCACCTAAAACAGTAGAAGTTTATTCACATATCTCAGGCTAAAGTGCAGAAATGCGTACCTCGTTCTGGCCCATTCATTTGACCCGGCACGCCTTTCGCACACCGCACGCTCCTTAGCGTTTTCCGCCAACAGCGCATTCATCAGCTGATCAGCTGTTCTGTGTTTTTATTCATTTTCCAGAATTCGCTGGTTTTGAAAAGTTGCTAAATGACTATCACTTGAGGGCCCTTCGATATCATTTCTTCAGAGGTACTTATTACCAGCAGCTCGCAGCATTCATGTCAATTATTCACTCTCTGGGCCAAAACAATCATGAACTGATGGTTCATCACAACGGTCAGTTGTAATAGAGTCAATCGAGTCATACAATGCTTCATCCACTGTATTGGATCAACTAAAGCTTCTAAACAAGTTTTAAGTATGAATCAACTCCATTTTTGATCTCAATGATCAAGAGCAGGTTCAAAATGCCAATTGCATAAATGCGTATCTCGTGATCAAATGTCATTTTTCAATCATACAGTGCCTGATCCGGTTGTATGAGATCAAACGAAAGCTTCTGATAAGGAACTGTAAGCGCTCAGCATTTCCGCTGTATTTTCTAACAGTTCGAGAAATTATTTAAAGTGCTGATGGAGTATGAAAAAGCCATAGAGAAAAAAAAGGAGGTGTTCGCATCTTGTGGATTATGTACCCTGTGACGTAGGTCGGTACAACCTGGTCAGCAAAATCCGGAATTCGAAGTATGAAAAACGGACCATAATGTCCGATTTTTTTGCTTAAATCAACTAATGATATAATTTCAAACCCATTACGTTGAGTACATTTTTTCTATAAACTACACCATTACCAAGAAAATCGATGATAAAAGTCGCCGTGCAGGCCTACGTCATCAAAATTCCAAGATGCCCGAATTGCAAACACCTCCTTTTTTTCTCTATATGAAAAAGCATCTTCTTCTTGCTACCCTCAAGAATTATCACCCTTCTGCTGACAATAAGCAGGAATGTAGACAGTTTTTGTACTCTACTGGAAAATCGTGTTTTCCGAGATACGCACTTCTGCACTTACATCATTGATATATTGTTCAAAACGTCAAACCCACTCTAGAAAGTAAGTAAAGGTGACTAAACAATTTTTCCCTAACACTTTGGTCATTTTTCTTGACATTTCCAGGTTTTTCCTGACTTTTTAAAATTCCCTGACATTTCCCGATATTCCCTAGCTGTGGGAATGCTGCCCATAAGCATGCACATGAAAAATAGAGATCCCTTTTTCCAACAGAGATTTACAACGTTACAAATATTTGCATATTTTTCGTCTTTAGTCAAGTATACAAAGCTTTTGGAATTATTATGTCATGACACAGATACTGCGAATCAGGTGAAGTTATAAAATATTGAGGAGATAAATGTTACCTTGGACAGTAAGATAAGGTCCATAGCAGCTGCTGAACAAAAGCCGAGAGCAATCAAGAACACAAACAAGCCGGTTATTATTCCTCCAGGAGTTGAATCGTAAACGCTGATTGCAGTAAATATTCCACTGGAATAAAATAATCAAATGATCAGCAGCGATAAAAGGGTATGATCATTGTGAAATAGTTTCACCTTTGGAAGAATATGAGGTAGGGAAGGTGAGACTACTAGGAAAGTCTTGAGTGCAAAAAAGGAAGGGATGAAAAAAGAGGCAGAAAAAAGAAGAGATGCTCGATTGAAACCTTCCAAATGGTAGCTGGAAAAAAGGCTTATGAGTCGCTGCTCATCAGACATGTAATATTGTCAATCTGAGGTTCGTCACTTTGATTTTTTATCATGAGGGTTTGGTTCTATTGCAACCAGACCTCATCAGTTGCTAAAAATTATGTGATAAACTAGAAAATTCAGGAACCCGCTCAATGAGCCTACTATGATCCTTCGATTTTTATCTCCTGTTTTTAGTACGCTTACTCATCATACATCTTCTTCCTCGCAAGATGCTGGAGTCATCGGATTAGAAGGTATTTCACCGATTTACTAACAGCAGAGGGAGGGACAAACAAATGGGAAAGAGAGAAATACAAACCATAAAATAAATTTTTCAATCTATTGGTCCTAATTTTAGCATTAATCTTATGGGCTTGAAGAATTGATCTGCTGAATTGCAGAATCCGTCAAATCGCGATTTCATAAAGCAAGGTTCTATTTACGGTATATTTTCACTTTAATGCAAGAGAGGAAAGAAAAACTAATTCAACTAACCATGTGCCTGAGCCTGATGTCCCAATGCTGTGAGAGAGAGTGATGAGAAATTGAAAGAAAAACATGAAGAAGAAAACCATGAAGTTTACTGAGCTATCATTCCTGAAAAAAAAAAAAAATAGAAAATTTCGCTAATTGGAAGAAGTTTTTGAAAAACGACGAATGTTCACCAAATACTGAAATAGAATTTTCTGAATTTTTGGGAGACACAACTGCATAATTAAAGAATCTAATTAAAGAAAGAGATAATGGTCTTTATTTCATTTTTCTAAAAATAGTTACAGATATCATTTGAATGTCTTGTTTCAAAAAGTGCCCGATTCTGAAAAAATGATCATTCCATTTTACTGCAGAAAAATTGCATTTAGGGTCATACTTGTCTTTTAACTATTTTTTTCTTTATTATTTTACATTGAGAAGGTGGGCACAAATTCTTTTCTGTTCGGAAAAGTGTCCAACTCCAAAGTTTAAAAATATTCATGTTGTACTATTGAAGGACCAACATTTTTCGGTTTCGGCAATAGGGCTCTTTTAGGGTACTGAATAACATGCGACAGGAACATTCATCATTTACTGAGAATTTTTAGTTGAATTCAGTTCTTCCAGTTTTCTGAATTTTTGGCCTCAGAGTTGGGCACTTTTCAAGACAATCTATTTAAATTGTACACTTGAGTTTATTTCTAATGACTAGACAGACAATATTTAATGTGAGCCTTAGTGAAACGTATCTACTTTACAATATAGGTAATGTTTAAACTGAGCAAAGATTTATAACAAATCCTACATTTGCATACCTCCCACAGTACAGACTTTATCAGGCCTACCACACATCAAAGATTATATGTGACAGGCCTATAGGATAAGCAACAATAGAGCTGAAAAACTTCCAACCAAGATTTCTGTGTGGAGAGTGTCGGTAAATTTGCAAACGTGCATTAAAGGTCAGTATAGAACTAAAATTCTGGTAACAAAGAGAGAAAAGATCGTCTAAACATTGTTCCTCAAAGAGAAATACTGATTTTTGCAACATAATGAAAATTTCGCTTTTATACTGAATATGGACGTATACTGGTAAAATTTAATAAAAACTGGTAAAATCCAGAAGACTTGTGTGTCGAACCGCAATCCATTTGTAATAACACTGCCTTGGCAGGACTTTTGCCAAACTACTTGGATAATTCTCTCACAGGATATTAGTAAGTAAGCTTGCCACCGCTGCCACTTACCCAAGCCTCAAGACTAATTTTCACGACTTCTTCAAGCTTGGGAACAGAAAACCAGGAGATTAAGCTATGTTCATGAAGGGACCCATTAGTCCCGAATGCGACCACAATTGCCTCCCTGATTGGTCATAACTAGTGTTGCAGCAAATGGTTTGAGGGAAAATTTAGCTTCGAGGAGCTTTTTCCCCTATGATGAGAATTTTATTATCTCATTGAATCTACGCTTGTTGGCAAAATTATTAACTCTGTATCTAAACAAGTGAGGAGTCAAACCGAAATCCATTCTTAGTAATTGCTAAGAGAGGTATAATTTTCAGCCTCTTGTGGGAGATAAACGTCCAAAACCGTCAAACTAGGGTAGAAATATGACAGTTTGAAGTTTGCAGTTCAAAAATTATAATTTTTAGAAAAAATCTTAAGAAGTCCTAATCAGCGATACTAGGGGACTCAAAATTTTTAAACTGAAAAGCAACTTTACATTGAGTATTGACAATAAACTACACTAAACCACTCTCAAATGACTGAAATTATATTTTGGAACCCCACCAGAGGCTACTTGGTGAAAACCAGAGTTTTTGTTTTTCTTGACCCTACAATATCTGAAAAATTTGCCTTTGGACTTAGGAGGGAACTTCCCAAATTACCACCTCCAATCAGGCTGAAAAAATTCGTACGAACTCTTTGGATAAATCCATTGGACCCGTGTTCCCCCCTCCCCCCCCAATGCGTCCTGAAAACACCCCAAAAAATTCCGAAAAGTCTTGTTTTGAGCATGCATTGGACACCCAGTGATGCTGCACCAGGAGGGTTAGGCAAGGCAAAGGAGCACTCGAGTCTATGAACACAGTTTAGCAGCTCCCTTTTCACAGCCGGCGGTGGCTCTGCGATAGAGCCAGTATCATGCAGTCCCGGGTTCGATTCCTGGTCCAGGCAACAATTATTTTGCGATCAAATTTTACTTTCTCACACATTCTCCGCAACAGCACTTCACATCATAATGTAATTTTTCATTAATACTTCCTCCATAGCGACACGAAAAATCCTAACGCATACGGGTGATCGGGAGGGGGGGGGGTATTGGTTGGGAGAAATGTGTTGGTGTGAGGAGGAGTGGGTTGGCGGCTAATGTAAAAGAACAGTGATTGGCAAGCTAATAGCTTGCATAACAAAAAAAAATAATCCCCTCCCCCCCCCATCCCCAAAAGAAAACAAGCATCTATAATTCTAATTGAAGAAGTTATATATCATTGATTAATTTGTGTTTGGTGATGGTTGTAAATTAAAATTGATGTTAAATTCCAATGAATTAAATGTGATTTGATGTGAAGTGTTGTTGCGGAAAATATGTGAGAAAATAAAATTTGATCGTAAAATGAACGTCACCTGGTCCAGGAATCGAACCTGGGACCACACAGATACTGGGCGAGCGCTCTACCGCAGAGCTACCGCCTGCTATGGAAAGGGTGCTGCTATACTCCTACGCACTCCAACGCCTTGTCTAGCCCTCCTGGCACGGCGTTACTGGGTGTCCGATGCGCGCTCAAAACAAGACTTTTCGGAATTTTTTTGGGGTGTTTCCAGGGCACATTGGAAAAAAACAAAAAAACACGGGTCTAATGGATTCATTCAAAGAATTTGTACAAATTTTTCAGCCCGATCAGAGGCGGAAACTTGGGAAGTTCCCCTTGGTAGTTCAAAACTTAGTCTACTCTCTGTTTCCAACTTCTGCATGAATACAGCAACTAATTGGAAGAAAGTGAGAATCCCACAAATTTTCGGCACTTTTTCTGTTGTATTGCATCCTCCTTTTCCCTACGGAGGATCGCATGAGCAAAAAGATGGAACTGAGCAAAACATACCTGAAAGCTTTGTATGCAGGCCTGAACCAGCATAAATAAGAGAATGGAGTGAAAACGACTAAATAGACAATACCCACGGTGAATACAGTGAATTGGTGCTTGTGAAAGATTATGAGAAGACCTCCTATTACGTTCAAACACATTAGAGATGCATGATCTGTAAAAAAAAATCGACCCATTGATGAGTGGACATTTAAGATGGAAAGTAAAGCTGAAATTCAAAGCACAAGTCAAAAAGCAACATCAAAAAATGTGTTCGTCCCTTTTCCAGCATTAAAAAATGTATTGTCTCATTTAATTTCCTTGATGGAGACCTGAATATTTTGTTTCATAAATTGACAATAACGATTCTTTTTGATCAATGGTACAAATTTTTTCTGAGAAGTTCATAATCAAACCCAGAGATGTATGCTCATCTCCGAAAAACTCGTTTTTCCATCCAGAGGATAATGTAGTCACAAATTTTTAGGAGAAATTCTGTTTCCAAGACTATACTGAAAAAATCATCTTTATAAGGCAATTAACTTTTAAAAGTTGACTTGTTCCTGGGTCTGATTTTCATATTTTTTTCCCTCTCACAATTTTAATATATGAAAATGAGAAAGTAAAAATTAATTCATCCACAAAAAAAACCAATATGTATACGTATCAAGAAAAAGGAACTCTGAAATGTCAAAACTGGATATTTTAGTTTTATTGTCGAATTGATCAATTGAGGGGTTTGGAGGACAAGGAGTATAACTTTTTGCTATTTCGAGAAATGCGTATTTTAAGTTATGAAATTACATGGATCCTTGTGGCGGAAAGAAAGTTAAAAATTGACTTTTTGATGCTTAAATGGAATTTGGGAACGAATTTTTCATAGAGTATGAAATAGGACTCTTACTTGAAATCATTAATAACTTAATTTTTTCAAAAACTGCACTTATGCGCCTTGTCTTGTAAGCCCCTCAATTACCAACTTTCAGATTGGGACATTAAGTAAGCAATAAGATGCACTTCATCATTATTTTTGTATTTTTGTAACTTCTGAACAGAAAAATAGGTACTGACAGTTAGAAATCTATCAATTTTGAACAGATTTTTAACATTATCTGAAATGAAAAAAAGAATAAACTTACACATCCACAGATAATAAAGTAAACGAACTATTCTCTGAAATTCAAAAGGGATATCTATAGAGAAATCTTGGTAGAAGCATGGTTGAAAACAGAAGTTGTCCGGGAATGGAGGCCAATTGTTGCGCCGCACTGTAATCAATCAATTGACAAGAGAAGTTTCACAACAAATTCAGTTTTTTTCAAAGGATACATTCAAAAGTTGTCAAAACTATCTTTTCTAGTTTGACATATTGTAATTTCTATATATTCCGTAAATTTCCTAAACATCTGGATTCAGAGGCGTGTTCCCAAGTGAGCTGAAACATTCATACAGTAAGAACTTTCCCTGTGCCTATGCAGACAGCGCACAGACCACAAGTACCTAGCCAGAGAGCGTACAGACTTAATATTTGGCACACCTAGGCACACTAAGTATTAAGTTCAAGTAATACGTGAGGCACTTGGGGAGGGGTTTGAGCTGGTCTTACGAAGACTTACGAAGAGGGGAGGGGGAGTCAAGCTGAGTTTTACGTAAGCTTTTGGCTGTAAAGAAAGGCTATTTGTTTACAAAATAAAAATAAATAAATAAATAAATAAATAAAAATAACTGTATCAGTGTTGTGAGCTGTGAAACCCTGCCATTTCAAAACAAGACTTGTTGATGCCAGAAAATTTTGCCACCGTCCCGCCGAACTGGCGCCACGTACCGATAGCGCATGCATTCCTTGACAGTTAAATTTCTAATTTTTCCTTTTTTTTGGCCAATTGTCATCAAAATACCTTTAAAAAGCCTTAAATTTATTCCAGCTATCTTACCAGCCTTTCTCCGTTTTTTCTTGAAAATATTGGATGGGGGGGGGGGGGG